GGTTTAGGGTTCGAGGCTTGTTGGCGAGGCTTTCGACGTGTGAAGCAGGTTTGTGGGCACTTCGACTTCGCCGATGTAAGCTTTGCGCATAGCATGGCAGTCGGTCGCTCCTTCCCACCCACCCCCCATAGACCCGCCCCCTTTGCCCCTCCCGACCCATTCTCGGCATGTGAAGCAAGCGAAACAATGTAAATACCGAGGCGCAAAAAAGCCCCAGGTATTCGCATGCGAAGCACGCGAAACACGGAAATTACCAAAGTAAACAGAACTTGGATTGCATGCGCGTTCGTTGTGTGGGAGTCATGCATTAACACGGTAGAGGTACCCGGCATACATACAGATACAAACGTGCTTACATGGGATTCGGGCTTATAGGGTCAATCGTACGCAAATTGTGGTCTCTTCAGGCACGCACTCCGATAGCCCAGTCCGAGTTGCGATAAGGCCCCCATGACCTGGGCCATGGCAAACAACATGGAGCTTCAGGGACAACCCCCCAAACCTGCCAACAAACCTGCACAAGCCCAGAAATAGGCACCAAGTAACAGGTATGCTGTATACCAAAGTGGCTGTACTGGATCATTATGTGGGGAGGTTACTACGGGCGCAACGTGACATACTTAAACTACATTGCAAAAGGTCTTCCGACACATGCCACACAGGCATATGGCAGAAAACCTTGGAGAACATCAGCCAGGAGCCGCTCCAGAATTCCAGATATCCAAAGGGTTTTTTGGGCACGTGGACCGAGCCACCGCATTGAAGGTGACCTCCGTCCGTTGCAGTCGGGCGAAGTCCAGCTCCTCCAAAAGACCTGCGAGCCGAAGGCCGGTATGGCAAAGGGCGGGCAAAGTTTTTTTTGTTTTTGTGGCTTTTGTGGTGCATATGTACACGTGCAGGTCGACAAGATGCGGCCGCTATATGTCTAAATGTATACAGAAATACATAAGTCTGCAAATGCTTTCTACATGGGGAGAGAGAGAGAGAGACAACGCGAGAAAGAAATAACCAAACAACAAAAAACAAGAAATAACCAACAAAAATCAGAAACAATGAAAGACACACACACACACACACAACTCTTGCTCACTTTCTCTCCCTCTCTTTCACGCCCACACACACATGCATCAAACACATACACGCACTTGCGCGTGTACTCTGAATCATTTGTCTAGAAAACAAACGACATATGAAAGCAAGAGAGAGTGAGAGAGAGAGAGACGGGAAAGAGAGATCGAGAAACAAAGAAAAGAATAAAGAAATAAAGATAGGAAGAAGGAAGCAAAGGCAAAATGGCAAAGATAAGAATGAGATGAGGAAGGAGAGACACGAGAAGGATGAGTTGGGACTTTCCTGTTCGAGCAGATTTCCCTTCACAGGTGGCTTCCTGGTGTATGGTTTCTCCCTTCCAAGTGTCAGAAGCGCCCTTCTGCTGCCGTGCATCTGGTTGTCTCAAGGTGTTTTGGTCCGTTCTTTTCCTGCTTGGAAAACAATCGGAGGTGAACCGCCCAGCCCCCGCTGCATACACACCTTCCAGCCCCCCGCCAATACTCCGTAAGCAACCCATCATACGCAACTTTGCATGTGCTTTACCACCCCCGTTGATCAGGACAGAAACACATTCGGATGTTGTATTACCTTTCCTGCCCTGACACACCTTAAAGAGAAGGATTTCATACGGGTACAGCGACATGACTCATGTTCCGGTGAACTCGTTCCGTCCATTGGGCTTGAATTTCGGAAGATTGTCCAAGGGGGCCGGGCATGCCATTCTTTGTTTACTCGAAAGGGAAGAAATGGAGGCTGAAAGCCTCTACCCTCAATATCACAGGGTGTGGCAGGGGTGGAAGAAGCGAAGAAGAGAAAGCCCAAGAAACAAACACGAAGGAGAGTGAAGAGGCGAACTCTCCCTGAGCCTCTCGTGCTTCCCCTGTAGGTATATATACGGGGATACAGGGTACCTCATTCCCTCATTCCCTACTGAGAACCAGCCAGTGATTGCTTCAAGGTCTTCCCTTGACTCCACAAGCCCAACTAGGTTGCCCAGCAACCTAGGATTAAACAGGGCGCCCTTTTGTTCTGAATGGGGTTTATAAGGGAACCTAAACCCTCCAAAAAAGGGATTAAGGGCACTACTGGCCAACATAACCCACCAAACAATTACACACAAGCGACGAGCAGCCGGGGCACGCAGTGACAGGCGCCAAACGCTGCCCACCCCACAAGCCCCCACGGCCACGTTCAAGGCCACAATGCCAACCTGCTCTCCAGTTCAGAAATGTGGGGGGCGGGGGGACGGTTCTCCCGGGCTTTGTAGGGCTTCTAGGGTCTTAGGGTGCAGGGCTTCTTAAACCGGGGTGTTCAGGGCTTTCAGGGCGAGAGGCCAAGGGGTTGAGACCCCTAAACTCTAAACACAAAGCCCTAAGTCCTAAACCCGAAACCGAATCCCCTAAAGCCTAGACTCTAGGAGGTGTAGGTGCTACGCACGAGTCCCGGGCCTCGAGAGGGTGACCGGGGCTGGGCGACCCAAAGAGTTGCACCACAGGCATGCGAGCTGCTTGTGAGTAGAGAATGGGGGAGTTAGGTAGCCCAAGGGGAAACACCCTGAAAGTTCTTGATCCCTAAATGTCTAAACCCTGAACCCGAAATTGAAACTCTGAACCATAAACCCTAGGCTGTGAAACCTACAGATATAACTCTGAACCCTAAACTCCAAACCCTAGCCTCAGCCTAAACTATAACCCCACCCCAAGAGTTGGGTGTCCAGGGCCTGCAAAGCACTGCACCGTAGCTCCTGGACAATTGCGTTTGTCGAGGCCACGTGCGACCGTAAAACCCTGGAAGGCCCTTCTTCTTAGGGTTTAGGGCCTAGGGTTTGGGGTTCCAGGGTGTGGGGTTGTAGGGGGTTTCGGCTTTGTCTTTCTTTCTTCGTATTGCTAGGGTCATTCCCTAGGAGAGGCCGGGGGCGGTGGCTTGCGAGAAGAGACCTGCCTAGATAGCACACTCAAGGGACGAAACGAAAGACCCTTATAAGGGACCTTCGGGGGTTATGTAAGGGTTACTTAGGTATACAGGGTATGTAAGGAAAAAGAGGAATAAGATCAAGAGTCCCTTCTAGCTGTCCCTCATTCTATCCCCTTAACACCCCATCTGCACATCTCAGGGCCCTGCTGCGTGCCCTACTCTAGATTCGGACAGGGCAATCGTTTTGGGGGAAGGGTTGACCAGGGACCCTCTTTACCTACCGTTTTATGGGTTGTACCTACTACCTAAATAAGGGTAGTTCCTACTAAACTGTCGGGAAATAGAACCCCAGGTAGGGGTTGAGGGTTCGCAAAGGAACCCGTGCAAAGTTGGCCCTTCGACGCGCAAGCCAAAAGCCCCGGACAACATACCAAGGAACGTGTGGGGCCCAAAATCCTAATAAGCTCTTCAAGCCCGATGAGCCCTAAGCCGTACAAACCCAAAAAAAACCAAAGCGCAAGCACTGAAACTTAAGCCCTAAAGCCTAAACTGTAAGCCGTAAACTGTCAAAATCCTAAACCATTATAAGCCCTAAGCCCTATACCCCAAACCCTAAACCCTAAACCCCCTGAAGCACCAGCCCCAAGGAATCCTCCAACAGAAGCAGTGCCATCGGCCACCGGTTGGTCTCACCTGCGTTGTGTCAGAATGTGGAAGGGTTAGGGGTTTAGGGTTATAGGGATTGGGGCTGGAGGGTTAGAGGGTTATAGGATTTAGATTTGGGGGTTTATAGGGTTTAGGGTTTAGGGTCGAGGGTTTTCAGGGTTGGGTTTAGGGCTACAGGGTTTAGGGGTTGAGGTGGAGAGGGAGTGTTGTGGGACCCTGCTGATTTAAGGGGCCGTGTGAGGACAGGGACGAGGGAAGGAGGGCTTCGGTGGCTTGAGCTGGACACCTCGGCTCAAGGGCCCCCGCCCCGAAAGACACCTTGTGTGGTATAGTTCTCGGGACCCCTAAAACATCCCTGCAGTTGGTCCTTAAAGCGCTAGAGTTTAGGGTTTAGGGTGGGGTTAAGCAGCACGCACATTCACAGGCCGGTAACATAGGGTCCGCATTGCATGGTGGCCATTCTTTTTGGCACGTAGACCGGCGCCCCAAATTAGGCATGGCTTAGAGAACTTCCTCAGCGCAAGAAGCCAGGAGGTCACGCGCCTTTAGGGCTGGTTTTGTCGATTGGGGTTTGGGGTTTAGGGTTTAGGGTCATACTTGGAGGCTCATGGATACATACAAGCAGGCTAACAGCCTACTTGTACGTACCAACGAACCTTCAAGTATACCCTGAAACCCTAAACCCTAAACCCTAAACCCTGAACCCTAAACCCTCAACTCCTAACCCTCCACCCCCCCCCCCCCCCCCGCCCCCTCCTGTAGGGTTCAGGGTTTCTAGGGCTTCGGGTGCACCAGAGACCCTGTATTAGGGTTTAGGGTTTAGGGTTCCTTTAGGGTGGCTATAGGAACCCTGTAGAGTTTAGAGGGGGTCCTCAACTGAGGCAAGTCGAGCAGCAGGCGCTCATCGCTGCGTCGTAGGAGATCAAATCTGCCTGCCAAAGCTCCCAAGTGACTGAACTCAATTCAGAAACAGGTGGCGGTTTAGGGTTTGGAGGGTGTAGGGTTGAGGGTTTCGGGTTTGGATGGGTACTTTTACGTAGTGATAGAAGTACCCTACATGAGGTTGTCACCATAGTTACCTGCAGACAACCCCACTTAGAAGTATCCATGAACCTACAAGTAAGCCTATCTATGAACATCTATAAGTCTTTTGCCAAGCCAGGCTCTAAGCCGTGATACAAACAAGCCTAAAACAATCTAGCGGTTTACCCTTGAAAACTCGGCCGAGGCCCAAGACAATGCGTCTGAAGTAATTCGGGCTCTGGTGCTTCCCGTATCCGGTTCAAAGCTGCTTTTAACTTTGTGCACCAAAATTAACACGTAACATGCGATGACCGGTGCTCCTCTTTGAGCAACCCACCATGTAGGCTTCAGTCCCTCCCATCCCCACCATGTGCCTTGAGCTGCATGTCAGGAAGTTGCGCAAAGAGCTGCAGGGCAACCTGCTGGCAGAATCGTGCCTAAAACGTTCAGGCTTCTTCTTTTCGGCAGGGTTTGGGGTTGATAGTTTGCAGGATTTGTGGTTTGGGGTCTGTACGGCTTGGGCCCGGGATCCATTGAGGAATGCTGCAGAGGGGTCTCCTCCCTAAACTCTATCACTGCTTCGTGAGAATGGGAGGAACCAAAGACCCGAGATCTCGATTTCTCAAGCCGTCTCTCCAGTCAGGGTTTAGGGTTTAGGGTTCAGGGTTCAGGGTTTAGGGTTTGGGGTTTGGGGTTTGGGGTTCAGGCTTTCGGCTTTCGGTGCAACCTTCAAAATTCAGAGTTTGGGTTGCCTGCCCCCGCTTTGCCCCCTCGCCCCCCCTCCCCCGGCCCTCGCATGGAACGCTGGGGCGGCTTGAGTCATTGAGGTCGCGGCCATTCGTCCGAATTGCGCCCTTCCGCTGCAAGCAGCTCTATACAAGACCTAAACCCTTCTGTGCCCTATAGCCAAGACAATCAAAGCAAGCGCTGGTCGTGAGGTGCCTGCCACGCCGAACCCTTACCACAGGCGCTGATGGCGGTGTTGTAAGAGATGAGATCTGCTTGCAGCTCCTCGAGATACAGGGACCCAAATTCCCCATGATTCCTCATGATTCCCAAGAGTTCCGTATGATGTTGGGGCTTAGGTCGAGGATTTATGGGGGTTTAGGGCGTCAGGTGACGGTTTAAGATGCTTACGAGGCCTCAAGCCTCTTCAAGGATACGACTCCAATGCTTTTTTGAGTTTTTTGTGGGTTAGTATGGTATCATTACAAAGGGACCACAGTGGAATATTATTAGTAACTATTCCGACCCCCCACATTAGACCTCCTGGCTCGATGGGGAAGCATGGGGGAAGAACTTTTGGCCTTTCTTCGGAGCCCATTCTTACGGGTTCAAGGGCTTTGGGTTTCGGGCTAAGGGTTTTTGAGGACATGGGATTCTGGGCCTGAGTTTCGACAAAGCTCCACTTCGCTTAAACATCGCTCTTTAAAGGGGGTTTTCGGTGTACATGCCTGACAGCGGTTGAAAGCGGCATCCTCGTCTTGAAGCGCTTGCAGCAGACACCTCCCAGAAAGGCTGCTGGCGTCCGAAAGTGTTTTTGGGAGCTTGGAGCTGCTTGAACTACTCTCCCAGAGGGGCCTCTGCAAATTTGCCAAACGAGTACCATAGTGCGGGGAGTTATTGATTTCGGATATCTCACAATGTGCCCTGCTTCAAGTTCGATAGACCCACCGGGGGAAGGGTCAAAAGAAGCTCAGAACTGAGGTGAGGGAGCGAGAGGGACATAGAACTGCCCTTCCTTTTGCTATTTCGAGGACAGAAATCAGCAGCAGCCCCTTAACCCTAAACTTTTAGGCCCTAAATCCTAGACAGATTGCATCCCGAAAGCTGCTCTTATGTTGTCACTCCGCTTGTCTCCTTCAAGTTATCGGAAGCGGGGTAAACTTCCCGGTCCACAATTCTCATGTAGGTACACGGACGCCAGAACCCAAACCCTAAGCCCTAAAACCGAATACGTCAACCGTGTAAGCCCTAAATCCTGCATCCGAAATCCTAGATTCTTCAACTTTGCTATCAAGGCGCAAGCAGTCGGCCCAGCATCCGAGCTTCTCCGTGGCCGCCAGGGCGGCGTTGTAGGCAACGACGTCCGCCTCTGCAGGGCAAGGAGCGCCCCAACACCCATAAGAGATAAGGAATGGATACCTGAAAAAGGTTTAGGGTGTATATACGGCTGATAGGGAGTATATGTATATATACATACACACAGAGAGAGAGGGCCCTAATTTTGCACAAGGTATTGGGCTCTGTGCCGCTACTGAGTCGGTGCCTGCGGGCTTCTCGAGCTTGTTGGGGGGGGTGGGGTTTTAGGGTGCAGGGGAATTAGGGTTTAGGGTTCAGGGTTTAGGGTTTAGGGATGAAAGAGTGGAGGTCCCTGTTCGAACCTGGATGCAGCGCGAAGGCAAAGGCCGTCCTTGAAACGGATACCCTAAATATTTTAGACCCTGGCTGGGACGTCCGGCGGGACACCTAAAAAACCTCAACGCCCTAGAGACTATGTATGGGACTTTCTAAACCTCTATATCCCCTGAAGCCTCAAAACCCTCAACCCTCGACCCTCTAAACCCCCTGGAACTTAACCCCAACCTCAAGTGCTAGAAACCACCTAAACCACTCTCGGCCCTCTCAACCTAACCCGGCAGGGCTTTGGGGGTTTTGGGGTTTAGGGTTTGAGGTTCAGGGTTGGAGGTGGCGGGTTTTAGGCATCCACTCCCGACTCTTGGCCTGGACCGTGCGCGCTGGCAGCCTTAGCCAGGGCCGAGGGCAGCTTTTGGACTGCTGTATTGGGGCTTAGGGTTTATCTGGGGTTTAGGGTTTAGGGTTTAGGCCCCGAATATGGGCCCTTGATTGGGGAATCCTTATGAAGGTTTTTTTTTTTTTTTGGGGGGGGAGGGGGGAGGCCTTCAACGTCCTGGCTCTGAGAAGGGGGTTTAGGGTTTCGGGGTTTAGGGTTTAGAAACGGTGTTCCCTCTAATCGAGTGGTTTAAAAGAGGACCCTCTTTGGGGCCGCGGTATGGACTTTTGAAAACAAAAAAACTACCCTGTGAGCCCCAAAACCCTCAACCTTAAGCCCGAAACCCTACAAACCTGAAGCAGCTTCGTTCAATTTCGTCCATGCACTCCCATGTAGTTCCGGCTTGTGGGTTTGTTTGGGGGTGTGGAGCTTCAAGAATTATCGGGCTATATCGTGCGTATGAGTATGCTGATTTCTACCATTATGATGAAGATCTTGATACATGAAGCACAAAGGACAACGTAATTCCTACGGGATCTAGAATGGCACTTCATACGAGATGCTGTGCCAGCAGCGCCAGGGCTGGATCCTTCGCGCGCCCGCGCGCGGCGGCACCTCGGAGTTCCGGTGCAAGGCATCAGAGCAGCATGTAGGGATCAGGGCTTAGTTGGGCCGAGGGCTTGGTCTAGGGTTTAGTTGGATTTTGGCATTTTTTGGGGTTGCTTTCAGATTTATGGCTTAATGGGACGCCCAAATTTAGGGGGTTTATGGTTCATCAGGGTTGCCGTCCCGGCAAGACTTGATCCATTCAGCACTGGAGCGTGTCCACGCTCGATGTCTCAGTTCAGGAGCCCTGGTTGATGCATCGTTGGGTTCTCCGTTGCGTTGCAACAGGGCCCGACACTCTCTCCTCTGCCGCTCCGCATCTGTCTTTGCTTATGTCTGTGTCCATCTCTCTCTCTCTCTCTTTGTCTCTCTCTCTCTCTCTCTCTCTGTCTGTCTCTCTCATATTTGTGGCTGATATAGCCCATCTGTGTCTAATATGAAGGGTAGGAAAAAGTACTAATAATATTCCCCGATGGTCCCTTCATAGTTGTACTAAGAAAAGCCCCGAAACCCTATTCAAATCATTAAGGCCCCTCTATTAGGCAGCTTCGATTGCTAGCCGAGCGCTGCTGAGTCTGGCAAGGCACTGATGGTGGAAGTACAGACGACGACATCGGCCACGACGCTCTTGGCTCCCATCTCCTGGCACCACCAACCCTACAAGGTATATGGTCAGCTGTCTGAATTACGGTCCCAGTTTGGTCTCTGTTGGACCGAAATACCCTAAACCCGAAACCCGACTCCCGAAACCCTAAACCCTAATGGTGCCACCCCCTACATGTGATGGGGTGCATAAGGGGTAAGGGCTACACAATTAAGGGCCTACATTAAGGGACCATGCAACTACCTCAAGAATCAAGTGGAAGCCAGGCGTCGACCGCAATCCGTCCCAAAGAACGGCCGACTGAGTGCTCTTGACTTAGGGCGTTGTAGGGTTTATTGGGTCTGGGGTTTAGGGTTTCGGGCTTAGGGCTTAGGGCTTGGAGTTTAGGGTTTAGGGTTTAGGGTTCAGGAAGTGTTTCTTACCCCCGAGCCAGGACATGAGGATCCTGGTCACACTTATGGTCACCTTTGGGAGGTTGGCATAGCCTAAGCAGTCCTTACAGTTTGTCTCGTCACCTTGCCTATCCTCCTGTTTGTTGCACACAATCGTCAAAGCCTTCTACATCCTCGATCTCTGTCAACTCATAAACTCTTGGGTCTTTGTGCACCTGATGTGCAGCAGGTGCTAGTTCTCAACTAAGAGGCATGAACCTTGAACCCCCTTAAACCCTAAAACCCAAATTAGATTCACTCCCCTCACTCCCCGAAGTCCTGCAGCAACTGGTACGACTCGGGCCAGCGCCCACATTTCCTGGAGTAGGGACCCTGCAAAGCCTGAGACCTAGAACAACCCAAAGCCGGGCTGATAGGGTTGAGGCTGTCAGGCGATTCACGACAGGAGCACTGGAATTACGTTCCCGCCGAGGGTCTCAAAGTGGCGGATGACAGATGTCCACGACCGCAGCGTCCTCGGCGTTAGCTTAAAGCAACCTGTCTCATGTCCCCCATCCATCATATGTACATGGAACCCTCTTTACCTACAGTTTTTTGGGTTGTGCCTACTAGTTAAGGGTTTACTTACTACTAAACTGTAGGGAAATAGTGTCAGGTATGCCATAAACCTACCCAATACTTGTGAGGTACATGTCGGTCTTTGAAGGGCAGAGCTACAGTGGTAGCTTTCAGGAATTCAGCAAGTGCGTCTGGGTCTTGGTAGTGTTGTTGGACGGGGCTCTTCGGGTACACCACAGGATTAGGGTTTTGGGTTTAGGGCTAAACCCTATCAACCCTAAAACCTAAGCTTAAAGCCCCATACATACATACATATATACATACATACATACATACATACATACATACATACATACATACATACATACATACATACATACATATATATATATATATACAGTATACACATACATAAATAAAAAATGTACATATATATATATATATATGTATATCGTTTCTTGATTTGCGTATTCATTTACTTACTTCTTCATGTCTTTTTGTTTGGGGGGTCTCGAAGTCGGGGAGTCGCCCCAAGAAGCCGGGGATCTGTTGCAGGTTCTGCTGCTCCAGGGATAGGAGCAGCTGCAGAGCCTGTGGGCTCTCAGGGCTTCGGGGGCTTCTATAGGGGCTTCTGGGGGTTTTGGGGACTCCTGGGTGCAAAAATGTCCTTGTTGCCTGCTAAGAGCCAGGAAGACTCTGACTCAACAGTGCATCCCAAAGCAGGGCGGAAGGTCAGGTTTTGGGTTTTAGGCTTTTAGGAGTTAGGGTTTAGGGTCTCCACGATGTTCACTGCAAAGAAGTTCCTAGCTTTGGCAAAAGCAGGGGTGGGACTCACCTCTTCGAGAGATCTGGAGACCGCATGCTTTAGACTGCCAGTGTAGCGAATCCGGCGACTCCCCATCAGAACCCAACTGCCCAACTCCAAATCGCAGCCCGAGCAAGGACTGCTGATGCTTGGTAATCTTGCCATGATGTCCATAGGAACAGGTACTGTACGAGAGCTGGGCGGAATAATATGAGCTCAAGACGGCTGTCCTTATACAGCCTGCCCATCTCTGGCAGGCAGAGTTGGGTGACGCAGCTTGCTACGGTATTAACGGTTGAAGGCTTTGGAATGGGAATCGCTTGCCAGTCGTAAGCCTGTGGCCTTGAAGACCCTGAAGCCGAGCCATATCTACGGAGCCTGGTAAACTTCGTAAACGCGGTCTGCAGCAAGGGTTCCGACTGGTTGCTTGCTTTTTGGATTTGGGGCTTTGGGGTTTCTACTTGGTTACTTGCTTTAAGGGGTGTCACCAGGCTTTCTCGATATTCAGACCCAGAATGAAGGAAATCCCGCCAGGCCTGCCTCGGGCCAGGCCCTTCTTTGGCGTGCTGGGCGACGCATCCTGGCGGAGGGTTAGAGGAGAGATATGGGGGTTTACGAAAACAAGAGACCCGTCCCGCAAGTAGTAGGATTCCCCTACCCAAGAAGGTACCCCTCTTTCGGAAACCCCCCGGGCTAAATTGTAGGAAAAACACGAAGACACCCAGAGCCTCAAAGTCCGAGCCGTTGCTGGTCGAAACTCAACAGCCCCGCGCAATCAACCCTCGCAAGCCTCAAAACCCTACAAATCATCCCCAAAACTAAGAAAATCTCGGGACCTCACAGCCTCCAACAATCCTTATCAGTTCGCTCCAAGCACCAACCCTTTGCACCTGACACTCCCAATGCTGGTTCAGGGTTTCGGGGGTTTGGAGGTTCAAGTGGTTTCAAGTTTCGGGTTTAGGGGGTTTGGGAGGTTGAAGGGATTTAGGGCTGAGGGAGCTTTTACAGGTCGAAGGGGTTTAGGAGGTTTAAGGGGTTTAGGAGGTTAAAGGGGGGGGTATAGGGTTTAGGGTTTAGGGGGGTGTAATTTCGGGGCTCAGGGTTTAGAGCTGTAAGGGGTTTAGGGTTTTTTTTAGGCTTTAGCGCTGCTCCTGAGCTGTCCCTGCAACTCTCGCCCGGCGCATCGGGCGCCATGCTCCCATGCAATGCACGTTGCTTTCACCAACCCGAAGATGATGCTTAGGTTTTAGGGGCTTTAGGGTTTTGGGGTTCGAGCCTTTTCGGTAGGCTTAAGAGCGCAGGGATAAGGTATAAGATAGGTAGCTCTCTGACATGAAAGACACCGAGGTGCTTGGGGTTGCAGAGGGTTGGTTCAAGGTTGTTGTAGGCGTTTTGCCGCAAGGGAAAAGGCTCCATGTTGCAGTGAATTCCTGGCTGCTTTTCCAAGAGCCGAGGGAAGCCGACAAAGTCTCCAAATCGAGCTGGGGTCCTAAACCCCAAGCCTTATGCCTAAACCCCACAACCCTAAACCCTAAACCCTAAACCCTAAACCCTAAACCCTAAACCCTAAACCCTAAACCCTAAACCCTAAACCCTAAACGCCAACTCCTGACCTCTCATGCTGCTTTGCAAGCACCAGGGCGTCCGTTTTATCGCGCTTGGGATGGCTTTGATCCCAGCTAGGTCCACGCGTTGAAGCAGCGGTGGCGCCAGCACAGGCTGGTGACCTTGCAGCTGACTTTGGGGGGGGGGGGTTATAGCCCAACATTGCCTCATGAGCCCTCATCCATACAACACAGGTTTAAGGCTTAGGGTTTAGGGTTCATTGAATTTCTGAACCCCCAGTTCCTCTGACGTCTTCAACACGAAGCCTCCAAGCCAACATAAGGAAATATGTGGCTTAGGGTTGGGGATTTGCAAGATTGCCTACTCCAGAAAGCATGCGCACATAAACAGCCGCCGAAGCACGAAACTCGAAACCCTAAACCTTGATCCTTGCTATCCTACATTCCAGCAAAGGTCCCTTGACACAAGCCAAGCGTCTTCGCTCGAGCGCGGTGATGGCAGCCTGGTGCTGGTCTGTAGATCCCTGTTATGTAGAAAAAAGGAATGTAGAAGATACACCTTTATGCAGATGCATATTCTTTAATGTATTGGAACATAAGATAAGCACAATAGGCGTGTGTCTATGTATATATATATATGTACATAGCTATTCGTTCACATAGGCATGAGGTGATAAATCTAAGGGCGAGGATGGTGATGCTGATGATGGTGGTGATCGCCGGATGACGCAGCCACTGCCTTGCAGGAGAAGTGTGCTGGGAAGACAGCACAGGGCAAACAAAACCAACAACACCACTCTAAACCCCAAACCATGTACCCTAAACCCCTAAACCCTAAACCCCTGAACCCCTAGACCCCTAAACCCCTCAACCCCTACATCCCAGAACCTTAGAACAAGCACTTAACCCCTCAACCCCACACGCTAAATCCCAGAACCTCTAAGCCGTCAGCCACTAAACCCCTCCACCCCAAGAGAAGGCAATGTGTTGCATCGCCTCCAGATCCGCAGCGTCGGGGTCAGGTCCGGCCTCATAGGCTTGGGGAGACTTCATCAAACTGAAGGCCGCAAAATCTATATACAGAAAGGGGATAGGGATTTGGGGTTTGGGGCTTAGAGCTTAGGGCTTAGGGTTTAGGGTGACCCAAGAGGAACCTAGGAATAGCAAGGGCGCCCTTTCTGGTTTTTAAAGGGGCTTATAAGGGAACCTGAACCATGAAAAGAAAATAAGGGCCTACTCTGGGCCCTAGAAATTGGGGTTTAGGGCTAAGGTTTTGGGCTGAGGGTTGAGGGCTTAAGGCTTTGGGCTTAGGGTTTAGCGGGTAGAAACCTCATGGAAGCCTATAGAAACCCTCGAAGGTCTTGAAGGTCTTGGGAATGTGGGCAGAGTTCTTCGGAGTTTCTCTGGACAAACGTCAAGGGCTTAGGGTTTACCTGGGACCCTCTTTACCTGAAGTCTTTATGGGCTATACCGGGTAGTTACTACCAAGTAGAGTCCCAGGGTGTCGGGCTTAGAAGACCCAATCATCGCCACGGCTCCTCTGCAAGAAGCGCCGTCGTCTGCTGCCACTGCGCAGCCTGCCACGTTAAAACCTGAGACCCTAAAACCGCAAAAGCCCGAAAGCCCCCTAAAACATGAATGCCCGGCCAAGAAAACTGACACCCTAACTCCATGGAGTTAGGCCTGCAGGCCTTCAAAGCCCCTAGAAAACCTTAGCGCCCTAAGTCCCTAAAAACATATAACCCTGACAACCCAACCAAACCCGAAAGCGCCCGGTCAGCCGTATTCTGTTGGAAGCTTGGTCAGGATTTTGGGACTCTCGGGGTCTTGGAGGCTGAAGGATTGCCACAGGGGAGTTTGGGTGCGCCAGGGTTTGGGTTTTGGGGTTTGAGGGCGAGGGCTTAGGGTTTGGGGTTCGCTTCACAGTCGGGCTACAGTGCAGGGATTGCACGGCAACGCGTGCTGATACCCGCCCCAGCTCGGAAGACTTGCGAACCAGAGATCCAGTTCTGGCCAAGAGAGCCCTCTGCTCAGCCCCAACTTTTTGGAGTTTTTGGAGGAAACGGGTCAGGCTTGAGAACTTGGACAAAATTTCAACTAATCCGACTTTGTGAAACCTTTACAACAAACTCCAGCAGGGTGCGTATGCTCCCAGGGCAGACCTTCAGCGACAAAATCTACATGCGGAGGGTCTGGAGTTCAGGGGTTCAGGACTTCGTGCGGATTTCTCTTGAGACAATATACGATACACCACATTTCTGCCTGAGCGGTTGTGGACATTCCGGCTCCCAGGATCTTGGTAGTGCTGCGGCCTGAGGCAGGCACCGGAACGCTTTGAAAGCCCTATAGTATTATGATATTATGATATTATATTGTTAATATGTATTCTACCTGGTGGTTGAGTCTGTCTGCTACTGCAAGTCCAGGTCAACCCGGTCCCCTCGCAAAGGCGACTTTCATAATATAGGGGTCGAAATAATTTAACTTAAATAGTATTCCCTGATGGTCCCTTTACAACTATATCTACACTGACGCCAAAACCCTATTCTAATTATTACGGCCCCTATATTAGCGGCGCGTGCGGACGAATTGCGACGTCTACTGATCGTGTGGTGCTCCTGGCTTCGGACAGAGCCTGGCAACTGCGCGGAACGCAACCACTCCAGCGTTCGCCGCCACTGAACCGTGCACCCGACAGAGGACACCTCGGCTTCAAGTCTTCTGTGAGAAAAGCTACAGCTTAAGACTCGGCTATGAACCTTAGGGGTGAAGGTTGAGGTTTTGCGGCATTTGTTTTGTGTTTTTTTTCTTGGGGGGGGGGGGGGGGGGGGAAGGGGGGGGGGGTCTTTCCTAAACCCTTGAAGGGACCTGTCCGAGCCTTGCAAGCCCCTTCAGGGTGCTGGGCGACTCCCCACACCTCGAAAACCCCGAACAGCCGCGAAGCCCTAAACCCAAAACCCTAAATCCTGAACCCTAAACCCCCCCAGAAAACCCGAACCGCCTGAAAGAGAACATCGCGACCCTTTGCAGGCCCGGGCGCTAAAGACCCAAAGGTGACGACATCACAGCGCACCATCTCCTGCAACTTCGGCTTGAAGGTCAAGGGTTCTAGTGCGGATATATATATATATATATATATATGTATATATATATACACATACAAAAAGTATAAATATAAATATAAATATACATATACATATATATATATAAAGACAATAAATACATATATATATATATAAGGTTTGGAGCTTAGGGGCGCAGTGATGAAGCATGCGCTGCATCCTCCAGTCCCCGAAAACATTTGGATGGTATGGGGACCTTAAACATTAGCTCCGGGGGGGGGGGGGGGGGGCTTCCTAAGGGATGCACGCTGGTGACAGCGCGAAACGTCAAACATCCTTCATGCGCTGTAGGTTGCACAGAGAAAAAGTGGCTGAATGGATGTTATGATTCCCTCCCCCCTCCCCCCCCCCCCCCCCCCCCCCAAAAAAAAAAAAAAAGAGAAAGGAAAACCCAGGAAAGAAAACCCCATTCAGGACCACGTGTCTGTTGGGGTGACCGGTGGGATCCCCAACTAAGTCAAGTCCTCCACGTGTCGTGAAGATACTTTCGTGCGGCGCGCCTTTAACATCAATTGCCAGGCCTTTCCACTTTAAATTGGAACCTCAGATAAACTCACCCCTTTTGAGCACCAGATACAAACCCCGGGACAGTGGAAAGATTCAGCTTCGCATGGGGGTGGGGGGGACGCGCACACTAAAGAGGGTGCAACATTCATGATGATGATCTCTGCGCAGTGGAGTGAAACTCCCTTGTGGTCCTCCATCTTCCCGAAGAGCGTCAGCGCCTGACGCCAGCTGCCAGCAGTCCTAGGCGTTACTCCCAAACTGCTCTATTCTGGGGGTCTTTATGTAATGATGCTTTGAGGCTGAGGGGCTGCTAATGTTAAATCAAGACGGGCGTTTGCATTCTGCGTCTATGACGCTGGACAAACTGAGACGTTGCACCCTTTCGAGCCATCAAGTCTCAAACTTTGAAGGGGTTGGGTTCAGGGTTTAAGGCTTGGGGTTGGGCCTTCAGGGTTTCATGCTGAAGGGGTTTGAGTGGGATTGGGTCTAGGGGTTTAAGGCTTATAAGCGGGTTTACGAAAATTGTGGACCCCTGCTTAAGAGTCCTAAAATGGTAGGATTCCCTTATAATCCGGACCCCAATAAGGTACCCTCATTTTGGAAACCACCATAGGGCTTCAGGTTCAGGACTCAGGGTTCGGCTTGACGCCTTCCGGGCGTTTTCGGGTTGAAACTGGCTCACCATCAAACAGTGTCAGAGGGACTTAGATTGCTAAAGGCCTGCACTGTAAACCTTCAAACCCCTGCAAGCTCTAGATTTATAGGCTTCGTGGGGTACTTAAGGTTCCCTAACCCTAAACCCTAAACCCTGGATGCAACTTCCAAGGATGGCAATGATAGCAGCAAGGGGTTGCAAATTTGGCGCCGGCCAGTGCCACACCTCCCTGGTTGAAAACGGGGCCTGTCGAAAAAACATCCAGACTGCAAACACCATTGAGGAGTTCACGCGAAGCGGTGTCTCTTGTGACCATACTGTCTGCCCCTTGCATAGAAGAATCCACCGTCAGGCTCATCCAAATGCCTCTTGCGACTTACGTAGATGGACCCGCCGCCATCCGGGTCATCCATGTAGTGCATGTGCTGCAGAAATCTATCGAACTGTTCCTTCCAGACAAACACCCGGATCCGTGCCTGAACCACTCGCTCGGAACCTTGCTCTCGAAGAATTTCTTGCGCATGACGGAAGGCATACAACCTGCGGTTCTCAATGGACCTGAGTCGCCCGCGATACCTCACCACATCCAACCTTGCCCAGTCCTCCTTCGAGGGATCCATCCCTTTCACGACCTCCTCTGCAGTGTCCTCCACGGATCTTGTACAGCAGCGGCTGCACATGTTGGAGAGAAGGCGATGCATGCAGCGGAAAAAACGGCTGCATTTCCGCTGTGTGTAGAGCAACTCACTGACAGGCACAGTCATCGTGACTTCCTCTTCCTTGACAGTGGCGTGGATGTTGGCACGCATTTTTTCAAACACGCTTTCCACAGTGTCCTCCTTCCCAAGGAATGAAGCCTTGATAAATTCGACCATGTCGATTCCTTGCACATCTGCCTCAAGCTTGATGCAATCCTTGTCGTCTCTATCCTGAAGCTCTGGCTGCAAAGCCGTGGACGCGAGACTTAGAAGGCCTTTTGCTCGTGACTGGCTCCACCATTTCCAAACGGAGCGCGCAATATTCTTGCTGTAACGCTGGTGCCAGTGGTCGATTTCTTTCCCATCGGGTCCCAGCAGCGCCGCCGGCCACTCCCCGAATCTGACTGAACTGAAAAAAGACTGCGCCTCCTCTCGCTGGTCAAAGAAAAAACCACTCACACCGTCCACTTTGATCAGAGCTACTGCGAATCTGGAGTGTGTTGGCAGGCTGTGCTTTGGAACATAGTCGTCCGAGTAGTACTCTGCAGGATCTATATGGATCTTCGGTGCGTCGTTTGCCGGATTACCTGCGTTGGGCCAAGCCCGACAAAGGTCATAAGCGAGGCACATGGCTTGCATCTTCATCTTCCTCTTGTTTGCCAAACCCAGTGCAACTATGTCTTGGTCCTCACACCACGCGAATAAGTGCAGGGAGGCGTCCCTCATCCGCAGTCCCCGCGCCATTGCCCTTATATGCGTTGGCCATGGATGGACTGTGCTGCAACGATACAAATTTCTCATCTGCAAGCTGCTGCGACTCAATTTGCCAAGGCCGGCGCACCACTCGACTGCAAGTATTCGACGCCTGTCACCCTTCACGACGAGCCACCACATCCGAGGCTGCGTTAATTCGCTGCCGGGCACAGTCATGAGTGTTTCCTCGTGCTTGACGGCGGGCGGGACATCGTGCTTATGCCCCTGGTGTGAAACGTTGCAAGCTTTGACTGCGTCTATGACACCCGGATCCTCATCAAACTTGATGCCATCCTTGTCGTCTCTATCCTGAAGCTCTGGCTGCAAAGCCGTGGACGCGAGACTTAGAAGGCCTTTTGCTCGTGACTGGCTCCACCATTTCCAAACGGAGCGCGCAATATTCTTGCTGTAACGCTGGTGCCAGTGGTCGATTTCTTTCCCATCGGGTCCCAGCAACGCCGCCGGCCACTCCCCGAATCTGACTGAACTGAAAAAAGACTGCGCCTCCTCTCGCTGGTCAAAGAAAAAACCACTCACACCGTCCACTTTGAACAGAGCTACTGCGAATCTGGAGTGTGTTGGCAGGCTGTGCTTTGGAACATAGTCGTCCGAGTAGTACTCTGCAGGATCTATATGGATCTTCGGTGCGTCGTTTGCCGGATTACCTGCGTTGGGCCAAGCCCGACAAAGGTCATAAGCGAGGCACATGGCTTGCATCTTCATCTTCCTCTTGTTTGCCAAACCCAGTGCAACTATGTCTTGGTCCTCACACCACGCGACTAAGTGCAGGGAGGCGTCCCTCATCCGCAGTCCCCGCGCCATTGCCCTTATATGCGTTGGCCATGGATGGACTGTGCTGCAACGATACAAATTTCTCATCTGCAAGCTGCTGCGACTCAATTTGCCAAGGCCGGCGCACCACTCGACTGCAAGTATTCGACGCCTGTCACCCTTCACGACGAGCCACCACATCCGAGGGCACGGATCCGTCATGGTTAGAAGGCTCATGTGATACAAGTACCCTCCTGGTGGCTATTCCATTGGACGTGCCGGGTGCTCTGTCTTGCTGTTGTCTTTCTTAACCTGTGCCAAACACCGAATCGCGACACGGTCCTTTGCAATCAAGACCAACCGAAGAAGCCTCCTGCGCTCGTCCAAATCTACGCGGTTGAGAACCTTGAACATCACCAATCAGGATGCAAGCACGGGAAACGGGTATCGAGGCTTCAAGCATGTCGGGCGCACATTAAGCCGCATCGACATGACGTGATAGCTGAATCAACACGTCATCCACGGGATTGGGAGGAGGGAGGAGCCACAACAACCCCTCTTTGACATCCCAAGCCTGGCAAAGACAGTCCAAAACCCTACAAGCCGCAAGCAAACCTGAAAAAGTGCAGTACACAGGTGCACAGTAGCAGATGACAGAAGTACGACCTGCAAAAAAAACTTTTGGACGCCGTGACACATATCTCGAAAGCCTCAACCATAACAGCGTGCTTAGCTAGGATGCTCGCAGGCGCTGATGGTCGCGTTGTAGGAGATGGCCTCGGCGCATCGTTCGTAGCAGGGCTGGAATCAGAGCCTTAAGGCCCCAAAAGGAAAGGGACTCAGTCTCTTCAGCCACTTCAGCCACTTCAGCCCTACTCCAAAACCGTGAAAAAGGCCCCTAACTTCCAAAAGAGCAGCGCTGCTGCGGAGCTGGTCCCGCTGCTGCCGGGCGTGCAGAAGCAGCGCCTCTTTCGGCTGAGGCTTCAGACGAGGATGGGCCTGAAAACCCTGCGGAAAATATATTCCCGGATGTGATCTTCTTAAAATCAATAAGGGAAATATACAATGCTTCAAGGGCCTACTTAGACTTAGTGTTGATTTCCTTTCAACATTTATCTAGGAGATCCGAGCCTGCTTCCATGTACCGCCGCGCTCACAAGCCGAGATGTCCACGTGACGGCCTCAGAAGAGTTTCATAACCCGGAACACCTGCAAGCCTAATTTCCCCATGAACCTTCAAGTACTCTGAACCAGGGTCTCTGCCCCTCAAGGGAGCTGGAGGCTTTTTCTATTTTTTTGGTGGGGAGGGGGGGGGGCGGGGGGGGTTGCCGCTTCGATCGGTAGATTGGTTGCGGCTTCGAGGCTCAGGGCCTTCAAGGATGTCCGCAGCCCCATGGGCTGATAGGGTTTTAGGCTTTGTGGGGTTTAGGGTTTGCACATGGAACCCCCATGTGAAGTACAGAAACAGAGGCCTCGAAACTCCCACACCCCAAGCCCAAAACGCCCTAAACCCTAAACCTGCAGCGAGCAGGGCTGGCATGTGCGGCATGACCCCTCTTCTCTAGTCGCCATGTTGCTGATCCCATCTGGAAGAATACCGCTGGCCGTCAAGCCTTCAAAGAGAAGCCTGCGTTGAAGTCTTCTGGCTTTGCGATTGCATCTGTCAGTGCTTCAGGGTGTGGGGCTTGTAGGCGTTGCAGTTGCAAAGGCTTGCAGGAGTAACTTTTCACAAGCCCTGGAACCTATAACCCTAAACCTAGACCCTGAACCCCAGAAACCCTAAGCCCATACACCCAGCCCATAGACCCTACAAGTCAGACTTACCTGGGATTTTGAGATCCTAACCTCCCCAACCCTAAACCGCTTTAACCCCAAACCCTCAACCTCCGAAACAAACCCTCCACCCTAACGCTAAACCCTAAACCCTAAACCCTAAACCCTAAACCCTAAACCCTAAACCCTAAACCCTAAACCCTAAACCCTTCACCTCCTTTAGCCATACACCCGAAACCCTAAACCCTAAACCGGGATTCTGGGGGCACCTGGTCCACTCCCAGAGGCCGGCGCGGCCGCAAGCGCTGCCCGCCGCGTTGGCGCCGGCCAGGTCGGGCCCGCCAGGCGTCCTGCACCTGGTCCCGGGAGTTGGGGTTTAGGGTTTAGGGTTTAGGGTTCAGGGTTTAGGGTTTAGGGTTTTGGGTTCTATAGGGTTTAGGCCCGGCAGCTGACTACAATGCCCCTTAATTAAGGAAGATTCCTTAAAGTATATAAGGGGCTTCATTATGGTTTCAGGAAGATTCCTTGATTAAGTGGGTATTGGAACCAGTGTGCCCCGTCCCCCCTCCCCAAAAGCAATCTGGACTAGGGTTTACCTGAAACGCCTTACCCAAAAAACAAGGGGCTACTCTGCCCCTAAAACGTGGGAAACTGTAGCACATTATTATAGCCTAGTTACCCCAGATAAGGGGCTACTTTGCCCCTACAAAATAGGAAGCTGTAGCCCATAATCATAGTCTACGGGCTTTCAAGGTAGGGTCTTGCTCTTTCACCGGGCCAAGCGCTGCGGCGGCGAGTCGGCGAGAAGCTCCAGCGCGCGCTCCCAGCGAGCTCCTGGAATCACAAGTTGCTGAGTGGCGCCAAGGACCTTATATGGGGGTTTACGATAATAAGGGACCCCGAAAATAGACCCCATATAGTAAAATCACCCCATATCGTAGGATCCCCTTATAATAAGGACCCCAACAAGGTAGCCCCTAATATCGTAAACCCCCATATCAGCCCTTCTCTCTTGCTCGAAATTGAAAGGAAAGGAGATCCCACGCGAAGCCCCGACAAGGAACAGGCCTTCAGTTGCAACCCTAAACCCTGGGCGTATGAAACCCTGTCAGAATCCTTATCCGCCTGTGTGTTCAGGGAGGGCCCTTTGGCTCATCACCATGAGGGTCCATGGTTTAGGTTTTGGGACCTAAAGCTTTCAGCTTTGGGTCGTTCAAAGGTTCACACTTGGCTTGCAAAAAGGGGTTTCTTGGTCAGGCTTGGCGTGTAAGGCTTGCCAGGCTTTGTACTCGAAACCTAAACCCTGCATGGGGGGGTCTACGAACGTAAGGGACCCCCAACAGAGTCCCCAAATAGTAGGATTCCCATATAAATAAGAAATACCCAAAAAGGTACCGTCGGATTTCGGAAACCCCCACATTGTAGGGCAGGGAGCCCTTCTCGCAAGCACTGATGCAGGCGTTGCAGCTGACGGCGTTTCCACGGAGGCGCCTTTGAGTTTGCGGGGGGGGGGGGGGGGGGGTTTGGAGTCTGGGGTTTCAGGCGTTTCGCCGTTTGGGGGTTGTGGGGTTTCGGGTTTCAGGCATTTAGGGGTTTAGGGTCCCTAAACCGAAGGTCTTGGGATCAGAAGCTGAGGAAGGCTGGAGAGCTACTCTGAGAGCCAGAGCCAGCTTCGGGATAGGTCGAAGGGAACGAACCCCCCCCCCCCCCCTCCCCTTACTAAACTTCCACAAATCGGCTCTGTGAACCCAGAACCCTACACCCTAAACCCTCGTGGGCTCTGGGAGTTTGGGCTTGGGGACTGGATGAACCCGCAAGTTGAGATCACCCACCCTACTTCAGGGTTTAGGGGTGTAGGGTTCAGCTGATCATGAGGAATAACAGGGGGCCCCTTTCTTGCGTAAAAGGGGTAGTAGGGTAGCTAAGCAGCTAACCCTTAAGAATGGTAGAAATTGAGGGCACTACGCTGGTTCCTAGTTGGCAGGCTTGATTTGGTTTGGTTCCCCCAAGGTAGCCACCGAAGCCATCAGCTCCACACCACGACACCCGTGGAAACACAGCGCTGCGAACAGCTGCAATGCACGCGGCCAGTCCTGGTTGGGATGGAGGGAAGGAGGGGGCCTGAACCCTAGAACCCCTAAACCCTAAACTGTAGGCTCTTGAGGGGTTCTAAACCTTTGGGGTGTAGGCTCTTGAGGGGTTCAAGGGTTTTTGTGGCAGTTCCTCTACAGTGTCCCAACGAGCCCACACCTTAGGTACCTGGAGGTATAAGGCATCTCCCAACGCGAAACCCTGAGAACGAGGTAAAGAAGCCGAAGAGCCCCAAAGAGCCTTGCTTCCTTCCTTCCAAGGAATGAGGTGGACAAAATCCCACCCTAAGAGCCCTAAATATTCTCAGAACCCTAAGAACCCGAAGAACGAAAAAACAAAACTAAGAAGGGTCGACATACGTGAGGTTTCCGAACAAGTAGGGTAGAATTATATTGGGCCAGGGTGTATAATGACAGGCATTCTGCTGCATTTGGGGGATCTAAGGTCTTTGGCCAACACCTGGGCCCTGAACCCCCAGGGGTCCACTCGGTCCTTGGACAAATGGTTGCTGAGCGTCGTGTTGTAGGAGATGACATCGGCAGGCATCTGCAACAGGACACTTGACTGGTGTTTCTTGGTAAAGGCCTGAGGGAACTACAGGCCCTCATATACACCCCTTAAAGGAGTTCTACAAGGGCAAAGAACGTGCCCTAACCTCCAAAAACCACCCAGTTCCCTGACTCCCTATTCAGAACTGGTGCACGTTTCGTGGTGAGTACACTCGTGGAAGCCAGCCTCTTGGACCCAGGCTCAGGATTTGATGATTGAAATTCTTTTCGCGGTTCAGGGCGGAGGGTTCCGGCTGTGGAGCTAATTTTTTGCGGGCCCGGGAGGTCAGTGCAGCAACTCGCGAGTGCGACCGCACAATGGCTTTAAGTACCCCCAGCTCGGAGAACTAGGTCCTGAGAGGTACGTTTGCAGGTTCTTGATGACTCACTAATCTAGTCTCCTTTGGGGTCGACATGTCTACCGTGCGGGGGCATATACCACCTTGAGAGTACTTATTCAAATATTGGAGCGCGTGTCTTGTGGCATTCCAGATTTATGTAGGGTGTTAGGGCTTAGGGTTGGGGTTCAGGGTTCGGGTCTTGGGATTTTGGGGGATTCGGGAAGAGGGGGTTATGCCTGTAAGCAGGGCGATGAGTACCCTAAATGAGGTTACAACCCCCCACTTACAGGCCTACTTGTGAACCTCCAACCCCAACCAAAACATTCCCGGACAAGTCACAAAAAGACCCTTCGCCAGTTTAGGGTTTAGGGGTTTTAGGGTTAGGGTTCAGGGTTTAGGGGTTTATTGGGCTTAGGGCTTCGGGTTTAGGGAACTCAACCCTATAAGCTCGAAACCAAAACCAAAACAAATATCCAATTCCAGTATAATTCGACAACCAAGGGCCCAAAAACCACTAAACCCTAAACCACTAAACCCTAAGCCCTAAACCCTAACCCTAAACCCTAATCCCTAAACCGTTTAAACCGCAAGCCCTAAACCCTCATCACGCCTCTCGGTCTCTCAGGCCCACCAAACGCAAGGTGGCCCCTCTCCTTGCAAATTGTGGGCAAGAGGCTGAGGACGAAGAGGGATTCGGGGGTATGGCTATAAGGTTTAGGGTTTCGGGGTTTAGGATTTCGGGTTTGGGGTTAAGGGTTTAGGGGCTTAAGGGGCTTAAGGGGCTTAAGGGGTTAATGGGGAAGGTTTCCGGAAGGTCCTTTTTCAGGCAAAGGAGAACAGTAAAAGATTTTTCGCTCTGGGCTCTGGGGATTATCTGGACTCCGGCTCAGGCTTTATTCTCATCAATGAGGATTGTCGACCACTCTCCAGTGGCACCCTACGCCTAAGCAGGCCGGGTGGGAATTTAGGGTTTAGGGCTTAAGGCAAATGGTTTAGGGTTCAGGGTTGGGGGAAGGGGATACCATTGAGGGGGAGGGGAGGGGGGGGGCCGGGGGGGCAGACCGCGACGCATAATTCAACAAAGGTAGTGTTCCTGGGCCCCCTGGAATAGTTTTGCTGGAAGGTATGGGGGATTTCTGAAAACTGCTCATGCGCTACGAATTTGCCGATTTCATGACCTCGCGCTGCTTCGATACAGATGTATGTACATCTGCTCACCGCACCAAGATTCTCAGTGACTAGTGGAACTCATGGCTGCAATGAGGTGGCTGTAGGGCTGTAGGATGATAATATGCCAGGCTAAGTGGCTCCGACTCTCAACACCGCATGCTCGCGAAGTCTAGCCAAGCCGTGGTTCTAAAATTCCACACAAACTCTGGAGTCTATATCTGGTCCAAAGCTAACCCCTAAACAGTAAACCTGAAGCGCATACACCCTGCAGTACTCCCGCAAGCCTAGACTCTAACCCAAACACACCTGAACTGACCACAGGCTCCAATCTTCGCTTGCGGTCGCGGCAGCTGCGGCATTAAAGATGATGAGATTCCTTCGGTTGGGAGGAGGGGTGGGGCCTCTCCACATTGTAGGGCCCTGTTCGGTTACCCCCCTAAACCGTCTAAGCCCCTAAAGCCAAATGCTCTAAACCTCAAACCCTAGACCCCAAACCCTCTACAAGGAACATACTACCCCTTGTGGGTTTGTCTCAGTCACCCGGCGAGAAGATGCATCACCATAGACGCTGCATCACAAATGTTCATCAGTCAAAATTGTGCGACAGGGGATGCGAATCCCCAAGTGGACGCTGCAGCCGAATCCTCGCATACGTGGCAGAGGCCACGGTACCAACGACAGTTTACTCGTGTACTTCTGCTATCATCAAATGTGTTCCGTCAAGAAAGGGTAGACTCGCGATGATGTGAGGTTCTCGATAGACACAATGGAGACACGGGATGGAGCCTCCTTTGCCTTCTTTGGTAAAGCTACCATGGAGAGAGCAAACTGCAAGTAGACGCTGACCCAAGCAGCTAGCATGAAACCTGGCTTCTGCAAGTGGAGTGGAAAGCTGAACGACGCAGTAAAAAAACGTGCGAAGTGAGATACACCTCCTTTGCATCAGCAACGAAATCTCAAGAGGCCTCTAGTCTAGGTCAGCTGGACAACTGGGTTCGTAGCACACAGGTTCAAAGGTTCTAAACCATCTGGGTCCCTTGATGAAGCTCCATTCAGGGATGCCGAGAACCGGGGTTCGGGGTTTTGGGTTTGAGGAGAGTCTACCTTGCAACAAGCCACCGAGTTGTGCTGAAGTCTGAACTCCACCAGAAACCCACAACCACCCTCCGCCAGAACCCTCAGTAACAATAACCCGCAATGTAGCAAATGCTGGCATTTGCTTACGAACCCCCCAAAACATGAAATATTCTTCCTTGCACGGGCAATATAGGGAGCATTCTCTCTCTTATTTGTTGAAGGGGTTCTTACACAAATTGCGTAGAACGCAAGGTCCCCCTTGAGAACACTTCAGGCCCCTTTTTAGCGCAAGCCCGGAGGCACTTGTCTCATGCAAGCCGCACTTGCAAGCCGCTTTCCGCAACCCACGCAAACCTGGGTGCTCGTGTGGGCGTCCTCCCCTGAGGGTCTCTATAGGGTTTAGTATAGGTTTAGGGTTCAGGGTTCAGGATTTAGGTCTAGTAAAGGGTTTAGGGACTGTTCAGAGGATCTGGCCAGACCCAAACTTAAAACCCGAAACTTCGCAGATGAACCCTGCAAAAGCTTGCTTGCTCCCCTAAACCCTACTTGGAGGTTCATGGGTACTTAGAAGTGGGGTTCTAGATATAGGGTTCCCTACTTACAACCCTACTTCTAAGCACCCCTGAACCTCCAAAACAGCCCCCTGTTGTTGGTTCAAGGAGAGCCAAGCTGAGTGACAGGCGCAGGGCGCGGCGCCACTCAGCTCCATCGCCGCAAGCGGTAAGGAGGGTGCTGAAGGTGACGACCTTGTGATCTAATTAGCTGGGCCGGCAAATGGGCTTCAGAGTTTACAGGGCTACAGGTTGGGATGTTCCCCCTTGTTCCAACAGCCCCCTAAAAAGGGATTGTAATGCCTCCCCCCCCTACTCTAATATTAAGGACTGTTAGTCAGTAGTATAAGTGGGAACATCCCAAGTTATAGGGTTCGGTGATCAGGCTTCGGCTTGTCGAGACCCTTGACGTCCGTTGGAGTGTGGCAGAGAGTCATGGGGGCTTTGTCATGGGTTCCCCTACCTACCCCCCCCTAGGTTCCCGCCATACTTAAGGCTGTTCAGGTATAATCAAGCCTCACTGGGGTTATTTAAGGGGGAACCCTCGGGGGGGTAGTATACAGGGGAGTCCCACAAAAACAATTAACAATGTTCTTCCGTAAGAACCCCCCCCCAAAAAAACAAAAAAAAAACAAGAACAACTGAATAAAATAATCTAATACATATATATATATATGTATTCTTCCTTATGAGGGTATTAGAGGGATCATTATCTTTTGTTTTTGGGCGGGGTCTTAAGCACATAGTAGATATAGCAAATCTCTGGATTCGGTGTGCTGAGGCCCTTGCCGAGCTCCGAATATTTCGAAGGTGCACCTCGGGAAGACTGGAATGAAACGCCACCTGGAATAGAAGCTTAAGCCTGCTGTCGCGACAGGGGCTCTGCAGGGTTGGGCGCCTAAACCCGAGTACGAACCACCCCCCCCCCCCCCCCCCCATATTAAATAAGCCCCAAAGAACCCAGAAAGCCAGAAAGCCTGAACCTCAACACCTACTCGAACCAGCCCTAAACCCACAAAGGGCGGTGGGGCCTCAGTCAGCATCTGTACCGCAGCGCCCCAGGCACTTTGGCCCACAGCGGCCAGCGCGGCGTTGGCGGCCACGGTGTTGGCCAGTAGCCCCGTAGCCTGGCTTTGCCAAGATATACAATGTGTGACATTAGGAACAGGCAACACCAGGGCGGGTGGGAGACACTACAGTTAAGGGCTTAGAGTAGCCTATACACCCTTGAAGAAGGGGAATGTACCAGTAAGTGAGGCATGCCGGTTTTATCGATCGTCTAGGAAAGACGTTAGGTTTCCAGTCTTCAAATTGTGACTCAAATGCCGCCCTGCAGTTTCCCAGTAGCTAGGAACTATACTAACTCTATCGGCCGCTGAAACCGGAATCCTGCAGCCTAAGCCGTCAACCCTTTTTAACCCTAAACCTAGAAGCCCCCTAAACCGCCTAAACATGTGAAAAGAACATTTCTGGCACCTGCATTCCCACCAGCAGGGCGGCCGCCGCCACCCATGCACCTCGCAGAACGTGCAGCACGGAGCCCAGGAGGACCTGGAGAGCATCTGGGCTTCAAGAAATTGGGGGTTTCCAGAAGTTGTGTCCCTGAGTATCAGGGAATCCTACTATTTGGGGGGTCTATTTTAGGGGTCCCCTATTTTCGTACACCCCCAAATGCTGAGCTTTGGAATGCCGATCTGCGCGCAGCGATACTGCTAGTGCAGTCTGTGCTGACATGTTCAGGGTGACGTCTCATTGCGCTTTAATGCAGGAGCACCTCTTTCTTCATCAATTTTCGCCAAAGACCCCGCAACCCGAAAGAGTGGCAGAGTGGCACACAACCCGGTAACCCAGCACACCCTAAACCCTAAACCCTAAACCCTAAAACCTAACCCCGAAGCATCCCTTGGCCAGGCGGCCACGTCGACCTTCAACTTGCGCTCGGCCACCTTGAACCACGGATGTAGGCTTCTTAGCTGGTGACCGTGGTCTGTAGGGTTTAGGGTTTAGACTTCCCCCAAAGGGCCCATGCGTCTTTCGCTTGATAGTCTTGAGCCCCAAAGTTACTACTCAGGAAGTATGTTGAAGCCAATTATACCCTAAATTCGTGTACATGGATCCTTCCTATATTTCATTTCGATGAACAGGAGCTCGGGGAATCGATCTTATGGAGTGTTTGGATTGTTTCGTGACAACACACCAGCCCCAATTCGGAGCATCTTAACCCGAAGGTCGTCCGTTGGTCCCAGCCATCCCTTCAAAAGCCCTATAAACCCTACAGGCTTTAGGGTTTAAGGCTGGTACAGACTCCATAAGCTCTAAAGCCTATGCACCCACGCGCCCACGAGCCTCTGCAACGCAGAGCAGGGCACAGGACCAGGACCCTCTGCAGCTGGCAGAGGCCTGGGTTTGGGGTTTGGGGTTTAGGGTTTAATAAGGTTTAAGGTTTAGTGTTTAGGGATTAGGGTTTAGGGTTTGGGGAGGACAGTGCTTGGAGGTTCAGGGTACTTGTAACCCCAACTATATCTGAAACTCTGTCAGTTTAGTAGTAACTACCCTTAAATAGTAAGTATGACCCATAAGACTGCAGGTGAAGAGGGTCCATAATTCCATAATGGTGCTACGCAAAGCACTGACCCGGCGGTGTCACTCACCTTGCACCTATAGACCACACCATTCCAAGGCAAGATCCTCTGAGTTGTGCTTTAAACTCATTGAAAATTATCTATGAATAGGTTCCCTCATAATGGAAAAGAGGGAAATTAGAAGCTATCCCAAAGCACAACCCAGTCCTGTGTAATGTCCACCACGTCGGGCACAAGTCCCTGCTGCCGCAGCAAGCCTTGGCTGCTTCGGTGGTTTGTTGCGCCTTTTGGGCACCTTCTGACGCCAACACCGCATTCAGAGGTGCCCGACACGCACACACACAAGCATCTGAACAACTCAGTGCACTAAGAGTCAGAAAACATGGGTATTTCCCAAAATAGGGGTACCCTTTTTATACCCCAAATAGAATAAACCCCCCTTGACGAGACCCCAAAAAGGGTACCCCTATTTTCAGCAACCCCCACATAAGTGCAGATACATCCCTAGTCCGGCTCCCTGCATCTGCCCTCGAAAATTCTCAATCAACCCTCTCAAGCCCGACACCAGTACCCTCGATGCCGCCGACACCTGCACACACTACTTGGAGGTTCTGGGAACTTATAACCCAATTACAAGTGCAGTTGCCACTTATAATAAGCCCCTTAAGTACCCTAGTAGGGATACAATTGGCTTAGAAGTACAGTTATAATTGGGTTACTACTTTAAATCTCCATTGTAGCTCATTTTTGGGTCAACTTGATTGCTATTCTGCGGTTCGAAGTCTGATACGCAAGGCCACTGCAACAAAGGCACCCAAACGTGCCAGTGAGTTCGGCCAGGAAACAGCCATTCGTGTGCCAGGTGCGCTTGGCTCACTATGCTCCGGGTTGTACATACAAAATATGATTATGCGTGGCTGCAACTCAAGACTGTAAGCATTCCTCATTTCTACAATCGAAGGCTTGCCACCCAGCTTCCATTCTTTATCTCACAGCCGGCCACGCCCCAAAGCGACGAGAACCAAGGCAAGCGGGCAAGGGGAGGGCTTCGTGCTATATGGGCGGTAGGGTGGGTGGGGGGGTGGGTACTGCCTCCGCGAACGAGGCCATTTTGAAACACCCGAAAAGCTTACACCCCAAGCCCCTCCCCCGAAGCCTCTCAACCTGGGACTCTATTTGCCTACAGGTTAGTAGTAAGTACCCTTGATTTGTAGGTATAACCCATAAAGCTGTAGGTAAAGAGGGTCCCAGGAACCCTTTGTGCCTGAAAAGTCCGAGCCCCTAAGCCCCAGACTCCGGACCAAGAAGCCTTCTCACACCCTCAAGGTTAACACACGGTAGAACCTCAAGCTTGGGAGCCACGCGCCCCATCCCCGACTCACCTCAGGCCTGTTTAAGCCATTTAAGCCTTGCAGCCTTTTAAACACAAAATCCCGGGTACCTAAATGCTTCGAAATCCACGTCGCTCAAATGAAACATGGCCAGCGATGCAAAGACAGCGAGTCAGTTGGCGCAAAGAGCAACGAGATCGCAAACCACCCCAACAACCAAAACCTGCCAGCGATTGGTGCTGCACCCTGTTTTCGGCTGCGGACAGGACTCCTGGGGCAAGTGGGTATATCAGCATGCTCTGACACGCACGCCATGACCTTGTCTTGGAGGGCTGAAAACCCGCTCCAGCACAAGAACTGAGAGGAGCAGGGGCTGAAATTCGAGATTGTTCAGGCCCCTGCCATAAAATTCGTTGTTAAACACTTGTTTTTCCGCGAGATGATCTATAAACCTCAGACCCACGCATCTTGCGCAGAGGGAAGCAGCTGGCGTTCGAACAAGCCAATTTGTGGCGGCTCCTGTATCAACCTTATAGATTACACTCCGCAAGCCCGAAACCCCTTCAGCGTTTAGACCCGAAGCTCTCGTGCCCTCCCGAACTGAAGATTCGCAGGGGGTCTTGAGCTGCAGGTTGAGGCTTGGGAACGACGTTCGCCGCTTTCCGCTCCTGGGGTTTAAGACAAGTCAGCCGCGCGGAGTTCAGGATAGAAATGGGGAAAAACATAAATGCAGAGGCATCCACATTCGTGGGAACCATCAGAACCCTTCACATCAGAGCCAAAAGGCTCAGGAAGGAGAAGAGCAACACACCTAGCGACCTCGTCCTTGCGCTGGACACGCCCCCCTGGGGGACCTGGCAAGTTCCGACCACCAGCTTGGCGGCCGCCGCCGGTTGCGTTCCATCGAAGGTCTCATACTCCCGGCTCTCTGGGCCACGGGTGGAGTTGCTATTGCCAAACATGACCAGAACCCAGTTGCCCCAGCTGCTCTGAGCCAGAACCTCCCTCAAAGGTGCGGATAAGTCGGGGGTGCTGACCTCGCATCTGCCCAGAACAGAGATTTTGTTTTTTTGGGGGGGGAGGGTTGTTGGGATACAGTAGGGCTCAGAGTTATAGAAGGCTCAAAGGGAGTTGTGGGTCCACCTCGGCGCCCAGGACAAGGTGGAGATCAGGCGCGTAGGTCACGTTGGCAGAGGTGGACATATTTTCCTTGATCGCCCAGGAACCATATTACCAATAAGGGCACCCTTTTTGGGTTTAGGGTTTGGGGTTTCGGGTTTCGGCCAGGAAAATATGAAACCTTGAACCAAAAGAACGGGAAAATGGTACCACTGAGCTACCAAGTCTCGTAGATGTTCAAGGCTGCCTGTGCCGTGAGAGCCGTCGCATTCCTCGGCTGAGCAGCCGCCGGTGCAGCACGAGAAGATATAATATGATTCAGAGTGATCAAAACATGCCTAGCAGCAATCTTATAAACATGTAAACCCTAAACCCTAAACCCTTAAACCCTTAGCAATATAAAAACTATTCAGTACATCCGAAGCCCCAGGGTCGGAGTCGATGAGACCAACGCCATCTTCGCGGTGACCTCCAAGGGCTCGTCGCAACAGCCGCCGGTGCCGTCCTCAACGAAACCCTAAAAGGGTTTAGGGTTTAGGGTTTAGGGTTTGGGGTTTAGGGTTTGGGGTTTGGGATTTGGGGTTTCTTGGGTAAACCCCTTGGGTTTAGGGGTTTGAGGGTATAGAGCCTAAGGATATGAGATGTAAAGCCTGAGGAATAGTTCTGACTTATAGACTTGTAATTACTGCGAGCAGATTCAAAGAGTTGCTCGCATCGGAAAGCTAAGTGTCTACCGTGAAGACGACATGAGCAAAGTTGACCGTCGCCTTAGACGCTTGAAGGTGATGACTACCAGAGCGCTTGGGTTCCCAGAGAATATTCCTTCAAGTATAAGAGGGTCCTTATAGGGCTTAAGGAAAAATCCTGAGTTAAGGGGTATTGGAGCATCTGTTTCAGGGTTCATGGTTGGGTGTTTAGGGCTTAGATGGGCTTGCGGCTTAGAGGGGCTGGGGACTTCTTGTGCTTATGGGGCTTCGCGCTGCTTCGATGCATCTGACGCCAGGTCCACGTTGCGGAACATCAGGAAGATGGTCTGCTTTCCCGGGACGTTGTTGCTGCTGTCCGGGCTCATGTCAGCACCTGGCCACGAAAGCAAGTTGCATATCGGGAAAAAAAACCGGGGCCTGGCGACCCACCCCCCCCTCCCCCCCAGGCCCTGACACCTGAAAAGCCTAATCATTAGGCATGTATACTTGGTGGTTCGTGGGTACTTAGAAGTAGCGTTCTAAGGACCCTAAATATGGTTCCACCCATAGTAATCTACTTGTAAGTTTGAAAAAGAAGTGCCCTTTTTGAACCTCCAGGTAGGGTCTATAGCAATTTTGCTGTGTTATCCGTAGACTGGGGATTTTGGAAGTTGCTCTGATGGCCCGCGTGCTCAGAGATTTAGATTTGGGGTTTAGGGTTTTAGGGTGGCTTAGGGGGTTTAGGGTTTAGGCTTTAGGTGGTTTGGGGGGTTTAGGGGTGGGGTTTGCAGGGTTGAACAACCCAATCAAGCAGTCCCCTATGTTCCGGGTTGTTGCAAGTGCACTTGCGACTCGCCTCCATGTAGTCCATCAAGACCCTGATAAAGGCCCGAAAAAACGAAACCCTATACCCCTAAACCCCGAAACCCTAAACCCCTGAAGCCTAAACCCTAACCCTAAACCCTAAACTTAAACCCTAAACCCTAAACCCTTAGAGGCCGAGCTGCCCAGCTCGAGATCAGTATCGGTCAAGGACACCGCACCAAGGTCATGGGACCTGGGTTGCTTTGCCTTAGGGTTTAGGGTTTAGGGTTTAGGGTTTAGGGTTTAAGGTTTAGGGTTTAGGGTTTAGGGTTTAGGGTTTAGGGTTTAGGGTTAAGGGTTGCTTGTTGCGATACTGGGCAATGGGGTACTGAAAGGCTTAGAATGGAAGTTTCAGGAATGGCCCACTGTGAAAAGGTAGCGGGACGCCTAGGGTTTTCAGGGTTCAGTTCAGGAATTAGGGATTGAAGTTTAGGGTTTAGGGTTTTAAAGGGCTGAAGATTGAGGGATTGGGATCTTCGTTTTTTTTCGGCTTGCGGCTTGCAAGCTTTGCCTTACCCCAAAACGTTCTTACCATATCCACCCTTATAGGATTAGTGGGTAACCTACCAAAAATTACTTTTATAGCATAGTAAGACCCTAAACCCTAAACCCTAAACCCTCAACCCTAAACCCTTTTGGGAAGGAAGCCACCTCCAGTTGACGAAGATCATCCATGCTCCAGATCGCATACAGTCAGGTCCATGCAGGCGCTAAGGAGACCGGGAAACCTGAACTCCCCAAGCCTTCCGCTTAAAACCTAAACACTGTATGCCTTATGCTTTAGCCCTCGTGCCCTGAACCTCAACGAAACCCGAAGGTCCCCAAAGATACCCTTATGCCGCTCATTTAGGAATAGGCACACTTACCCTAAACCCTAACCCTAAACCCTTCAGCTTATATGAATCCCTATGGTTCTGGGATCCTCTCAAAAGCAAAGCACCCAATGCCAGAGCACACTTCGAAATCATCTTCGCTCGCGCTGATCTGCCACGTTTTATTGACCTGCCAGCTGTTTTTGGGGGGGTTGGGATGTTCTCCCTTATACTAATAGTAGGGATAATAATCGGGGGTAGTAAAATCCCTGTTAAGGACTGTTTGTAGAAGGGGGAACATCCCAAGGTTTACGGTTTTCGGGAGGTTTGCGTTTAAAACTTCGGTTTTGGGATCTCTCGTGGTAGGTCATCGTTTCCGTCTGCCAAGTACCTGGCTCAACAGTACCACATAAGCACGACCGGCTCATCTTCATAAACCTTAGCTTGTCAGACATCAGCCATGTACTTGGGAATTTTTAGAGTTCAGAGTGAAGGGTGTACGTGGTAGTTATTCACACTGTTCTTGGTCTCTTTGCTCCCATGAGCATTGTGATTCTGAGTCGTGTTGTTATGATGCAAGAAAAACTATCTTATTAGGGTCCCGATTGCAAGGAAATCCTGCCATTTGGGCATCTAGATTGGGGGTGCCCTGTTATCGTAAACCCCCATACAGAGGTGTGCACGGATGTATGCTGCTATTGGCTGATACGGCCCGGCGCGCTAGTTCCAGGGTGGGCCATGCTTGATCCAAGGCCTTCCCATGCGCGAGAGACAAGACAACTCCCCAAAAAACCAGGACCAACTAGACCCAAAACCCTAAACCCTAAACCCCCAGACCTAGCCTGCTGGTTCTTAAGAGGGGGGAGGGAATGAGGCACCTACGGCACCTACCTGAACGCTTCAACTTTATGGCGATAACCTTGTTTAGTTGCTTATAAACCAACCTATAAGTTCCTACGATCCTCCAAGGAGGGGCTCATGCAAATAGGCCTTGGTCCCAGGCTTGAGCACGGAGCTGCCCTTCTTCGTCAGGGTTCAGGGTTCAGGGTTTGGAGTTTCAGGTTTAGGGTTTAGGTTTAGGGTTTAGGTTTAGGGGGGATGCCAGAAGAAGCATGATCAGCGCTACTGAACACCCTAATCCCCAGACCATGAGCCCATATAGAACCCTTAAAAAGCATCATCGGCCCTGTAATATACATAAATGTAATTCAGCACCTTTTGATGACCCTGAACAACCAAAAATGACACCGTTTACAAAACGACACACTTTGTGGGCTTCAGGACGCGGCGCCGGCGTCGATTCAACGGCTGCTGATGCCTGCGAACATCCTGCGCTGGTCTGCTTGACCGTCCATGGTCTGCTTCTTGCGACGGTCACTTTGTATCTTATGTTCATGGGTGTTGCAGCAACAGCAACCGAGAATGCGTGTAGTAGGCGCGAACTTCGTTTTTCTTGCCTCGGTGAGGCTGGATGAGTCCCACCCAACACTGTACATGTATACCCTCAAACCTGAACCCTGAACTTAAACCCGAATATGCCCCGAAGTCGGGTCTAAAAATGAACCGAAGTCTGGATGACACACTTCAAAATGCCGTGTAAAACCGTGAACAACCTTCTGACATAGACCCATAACAGACCCTTAACAAACCCTTTACAAAACTCAGCTTGTAACGACCCACACTTACTTGGGTTTGTGTGGTACTTATAAGTAGGGTTATAAGTAGGGAAACTATGGCAGCAACCCTTGTTCAGCGTACTGAGAACCCTACTATAGAAGTTCCTAGGAACCCTAAACCCTGAGCCCTACACCCCAAACCCCAAACCCCAAACCCTAAACCCCAAACCCCAAACCCTAAACCCTAAACCCTAAACCCCAAACCCTAAACCCCAAACCCCAAACCCCAAACCCTAAACCCCAAACCCTAAACCCCAAACCCTAAACCCCAAACCCCAAACCCTAAACCCCAAACCCGAAGCCCTAAACCCTAAACCCGAAACCCCAAACGCTAAACCCTAAGCCCTAGCCCTAAACCCTAAACCCTAAACCCTAAACCCTAAAACCTAAAACCTAAACCCTAAACCCTAAACCCCACCACCTCCTCCTGGCCAGCAGGGCAGGAGCCCCGCGCCGCAGCGAGGCAGCAGAGTATCGCAAGGGCTCGGAAGTGCATGGCGGCCTGCAGAAGTGAGGGGGGTTTCGGGTTTCGGGTTTAGGGTTAGGGGTTTAGGGTTTAGGGTTTAGGGTTTGGGGTTTCGGGTTTAGGGTTTAGGGCTTCGGGTTTCGGGTTTAGGGCTTGGGGGGTTAATGTTGCACCCGCTTTTGTCGGGGCCGGCTGAATAAAGTCAACTCTGCCGAGCTATACTGGATCGACTGTGCGGAATCAACTGCTGGGCTTCGCTGCTCCGGTTTGAACTCATATAACCTCATCACTCTTTAAGGCTGTTCGGGGGAGTGGGGGCCGGTGCACTAAAGCGGGTGCAACATTATACGTGTTCCTATAAGGGGGTAACGATGGGGGTTTCGAGGTGAAGGATGGCAGCACTAGATTTGCTGTCGGCGTTTACCATGTGCTTCCCGAGTTTCATATTCCCTTGGGTTTTGTAGAATTAAAAATACAGAGCTCAAAAATACTAAGGGGGCTGTAGTAACCCCAAGACCCTCAACCGCAAGCTATCGGAATCCTGAACTCCTGCCGCATTGGAAACCTCAGCCCTTGAAGGTATCGTGGCTCAGGAACCTCTAGTGGCAAACCCACACCGAAACCCCGACAAAAACAAAATCTGAAACCAGTACAGCCCCTGGAGCCACTTAAGTCTGTCAGGCCACCAAAGCCCGTGCAAAATCCCCACAGCCCCACAACCATCAATACAAACCCTAAACCCTAAGACCTAAGAACTCCATAATGCCATACCCCAAAGCCTAAACGCGCCCCGGACCCCTAAGACCTAAGAACTCCATAATGCCATACCCCAAAGCCTAAACGCGGTTCGGAGGCTTTGAAGGGCCTTGGGAGATTCCGAGGCTCTGCCCGAAGAATGGAGAGGCCAAAGCGTTTGGCTGTAAATGGCTTGAGTCGAAGGGTTTAGGGGTTCTAGGGTTACATGAGGGGCGGGGGGCTATCTTGAAGCTTTCCAAGCGCCGGCAAGAAGTGCAGCCTGAAAGATTTCAGTCAACCTGATGGAGGAGAACACCATTGCTTGCTACGGACAAGTTGGTCGGAGTCCATTTCTGAAAAAAACCTCCTGTAGTCGTAGACAACCTCATGAATCGTTTTGTCTGAAAAACGAGACTTCTCCTTGAACGCCTGTGTTTTGATCTGTCGCCTAGTCTCAGGGTCTCGTTGATGACATGGGCCACAGTGTTGATCACTGCTTAAGATGAGCAAAAATCCTCCGTTGGTAGTATCCGAAGACGAATTTTCTTTCCTGACATAAACCCCCGCTGCTAGTTTCGCGGTCTGGCGACACAAATCAGTAAGATCCGACGCAGGGCCACGAAGGCCGTAGCAAAGAGACAGGGATTGGAATTTGCCTCGCCTAGTTTGTCCGAGCGTGAGCGACGAAACCCCTCAAATCCTAATCCGCAAGCCTTAAACCCTAAACCCTAAAGCCCTAAACCCCCTCGGACATGAGGTGTCAAAAACATTCTCAACTTCCCAGTGCGAGCCCCAGCTCTGACCCTGTCGGGTAATGGATCTGCTGCTAAGGCATTCTGCACTCGATTCACTAGATCGAGTAAGCCCCGGAATGCTGTCAAGTGAGGCCTCGTCCCCGTTCATACTGTAGGCGCCGTGCGAGAAGACCCCTGCTTTTCTTCATGCTGACTCTGCGAAAGCCTGCAGTTCATCCGGCAAAACGAGTTGCCTGACACAGGTGCCACTGAGGTCTACCTATAATCTGTGCAACGGAAGACAAGTACTTAGCAAGCTGGCCTTGGGCCAAGCAAAGCTATCTTCACACCGCAATGGTAGTCGCCGTCTTCGCCGTCTTCAGGCAGGCGGATGGGTCCTTTCCGGCCCCCCAGGACGGTTCAACGGAGTCCTCCTTGACGCTGAAGGAATACTGCACCGGCTCACAGCCCTCGTCTTCTCCACCTTAGGCTGCAAAATCCAAGCCTGAAACTGCTACGTTCACTCTTAAGTCTATATAGATTCGCGCTATAGATTCGAGCCGTGATGCAATACAGCATCCTGAGATTGCAGTAGTTGGTGGAGAAGTCTGCCACAGACGGAATCTGACTCTGACTGCAGCCGTGGATTTTGCAGGTGCCATCAACATCTTCGAAGTCGAACTTCAGCTTGTCGGTGAACATCTTGTTGCCGGTGACACGCTTGAACTCCAGCTGGGCATCGGTCTGGGACTCCAAGGAGTAGATGCCGTTGTTGTGGGGATCATGCCAGGCCCCGGTGCTGATGCTTGCCACGCGAGACACCATCTCATCTTGCACCGCCTTGCAGGATGTCTGTGCTGTCACAGACACCTGACAGTGGGCGTGGATCACGTCCAGTGCGTGGCAGGACTGTCCGGCCACCAGCGGCGCGATCGCAAGCACGACAAAGGCCCTACCAGCCATGATTTCCCGGAGAGCAAGATGACTACCAACGGGGAGGACTTGGACTTCGCTTGGCTGCGAAGATGCCACGGCCGAACTGCCGCACCCCTCTCTCGGCTTAACGACAGCGTTCTTCTCTTCTAAGCGTCAAGTCTAGATAGAGTCTATAGCAAACGGCAGGAGAGGGTACTACAATCCCTATTAAGGACTGCCAATATAAGGGGGAAGATCCCAAGGTCCAAGAGTACGCCTGGGAATAAACAAAAAGTACCCTTTTGTTTAACTCAACAAGCTTTGCAAGGGTGCCTCTTCGTAGTAGAAAACCCAAATCCCAGACCCATCCCCTGAAGATGACGGCTCTGTGCTGCCTGACCCTGATTAAACCCTAAACCCTACAGGCCCTAAACCCTAACACTCAAACCCCCGAGTGCTCGAGGAAAGGAAGACTTTTCATCACGGCCCAGAGAGCGCGACTGCAAAAGATGCTGGAGACACTCAGGCTCCCTGGCGCTGCGTTATGGGTTTTAGAGATTAGGATTCATAGGGTTCAGGGTTTGAAGGTTTCAAAGCGTTGCAAAGGGGTTAATGTTGGGCCTGCTTTAATAAGCTTCCCCCCCCCCCCCCCCCAACAGACGAGGACCCTGAATAAAAAAAGACCCCAAACAGGCAGGCAAGGAAGGGGTCAGGAGGTTGAGTGTTGCATGAACCAGATCTCAAACTAAGGACTTGGACCTCAAACCCATTAAAAAAGACAGGCCCGGCCCGACAACTTTGCATTATAGCGGACCCTCAAAACAGGGCCAAGATCCTGAACAGCCGAAAAACTTTTCATAATGGCGGCCCCCTGGAATATTGCGGGTGCAACATTGGTAGGGTTCAAAAGGGCTTAAAGGGGCGTAAAAAGGTTTCAGAGGGCGTTACAGGGTTTAAAGGATTCAAAAGCGTTTGAGAGGGTTTAGGGTGAAGACATCCAACAGCCATGTCCTCAATGCTACCCTAAGCCCGACGTGTCTACCCTGAGTCTCCATCCTAAACCCTCTATATAACCCTTAGTCCCATGTTCTTGGGCACTCTAAACCATACACCCTAAACCCTGAGCCCAAGGTACAGGTTCAGTTTCCATGTGAAAGCAATCTGGCCCTGCAGGCCCTTTAGGGCTTAGGGTGTTGGGGTCTGGGCTTTAAGGTTTTGAGGGTTTAGGGTTTTGGGGCTTTTAGAGTCGTAGGGCTCTGGGGCTTCCATAAGGTTTAGGGATTTAGGGCTCAGGGGTTAGGATTTCCGATAAACCCTACTTGGAGGGGGGGGGGGGGGGAGGGACTCAAAGACAAGACTTAAACCCCCGAAGCCGCGAGCCTCCACGAAGCGTCGCCGGAGGGCCTGCAGGCGGCATTAGGGTTTAGGGTTTAGGGTTTAGGGATGCCCGTCTTAAAAAAAAACAGGGCCCCGGTTTTGAGGGTTTTTCTCATAGGGCTTTAGGAGGGGTTTCAGGAGCCCTAAGCCCGAAGCCCCATCGCCATCCATGTGGTTTAGGGTTTAGGGTTGAGGGCTATAGGGTTTAGAGGGTCTCTATGGTTTAGGGCTGCAGGGTTTAAGTTTAAGGTCTAGAATTTAGGGTTACATAGGGCTTTTGGGTTTACAGGGCTTATGGGCTTCTGCAGGGCTCGGGGGGGGAGGAGGCTCGTAACTTTTAGGATTTCGGGTGGAAGCCGCATTTTTGGCTTAGCGGAGGTTCAGAGTTTCGGGATGGGGAAGACCTGGAAACACCTGGGCCACCAAATGAGGGAAGCACTACATACGTACGACAAGAGGAGGACCCTAATCCGCCGAGGCCTCAGGCGGGATTTGCCCCCCCCCCCCCCCCCCCCCTTGCCCCCCCCCCTTGCCCCCCCCCTTGCCCCCCCCCCCCCCCCCACACCCTTTTCCCCGCCCAAAGCCAGTGCAGAAAAATGGTGAGCGGGTTTTCGAGGCTCAACTGGTGTGAGCACGGCTGGGGATGCATTACACGAGCCGAAGAGTCTAAGCTTGAACCTAAACCCTAGACCTTAAACCTTAAACCTAAAGCGCGAAGCACTCCCCCTCCCCCCCCCCCCTTCCCCCCCCACCCCCCCTACCCCCCCCCTACGATCAATCCAAGCCGAACCGTCTCTTGAACCCTAAACCCAAAAAAACCCTGCCCTAAGCCCTCAATCCTAAACTAACCCTCAACCCTAAACCCCAAACCATAAACCATAAACCCGGAACCCTAAACCCTAAACCCAACCCTAGTTGCTTGGGGTCCAGCGGCTTGGGCGCTGCGGAATCACCATGCTCACGCGGATGCGCTGGGCCGGGCCGAGGCGGGTCGCGTAGCGTTAAAATTAAACCCTAGACTCAGACGCAGGGGCCCCCACAAACATGTGCAAGCTCGGAACCCTACATCCTGAACCCGAAACTGTAAACCGCCTGACTTCTGATTCTCTTGGACAGCCCTCCATCCTTACCTCAACAACTCCGAAGGCCTGAATACGATACATCCTCAACCGAATAAGATACATCCTAAACTACACCCTAAACTCCCCTAAAATCTAAACGCCCCTAAGCCCTAAACCTCCCAGCCTCCGTAACCTACTAAGCCCTAAGCTCCTTTCTGCATGCCTGCGCTGCTGCCTCTTGAAGGCCCGCGAGGCTGAGGGCCGTGAGGCCAGCCTGGTGGCCTCTTGGGTTTACCGGTTTAGGGTTTAGGGTTTAGGCTTTAGGGTTTGGGTGAGCCTGTGTGGGTGCTTGCAAGGTTTTACAGGGGTTAACAAGGCTAAGCAAGGTTTATCGGGTTTTGTGCGGCTTCCTACGGTTGATGGACCGAAACCCTGCATAACCCCCTACATGACAAGTACACGACCGTTGGCTATCGATCTCCCCACGCCCTCAAACTTCGATGTTGCATGCAAATGCCGGTGATGCAGGATTTCCGGTCATTCGCACATGCCCTTCTGAGCTTGGTCGAGAGGTCAATAAGATGATTCAGGGTTGACTGGAAAGATAAAAGTGATTCTGGCCTTCGTCCGTCAACAGTACTAGTAGTTGTCAACGTTTGGCTTGGTTATCTTGGTCTATCAAAAAATGAGGACAAGACTTGCAATACTCCATGTGATGGATAGGGTTTAGGGTGGCGCGGGGGGGGGTGTAAATATAGGGTTGAGGGCATACAGTAAATGGGAGCCTATAGGCAGCATACCAAATGCGGGCTTGAGGTCACAAACTCCAACCCTGAACCCTGAACCCCACATCCTGCAGCACAAGCCCTAAACCCGAAATCCTAAACCCTAAATCATGAATCATGCACTTCTAGGTTCGAGGACCGAATCTAGGAGAGGCTGTGTAGGGCATAGGGGCGAGGGTATACAACCAGAGCCCAACACCGGCTTTTTAGATTTCGGGGATTAGTAGGGCTGGGAGTCGCTGGTGGTCTTCGCAGAGCTTGTTCAGGAGAGCTTCATGTATGGAAGCCCTAACCCTAACACCCAAAACCATAACACCAAATAGCCTAAACCCTAAACCCACACAAGCCTAGGGCAGAGGCGGCTGTAGAGGCAGCGAGGGTGATCACAGATCCTGTCTCCAGATCCCTGACATCCCAGACCAGAAATTAGTTTCAACGTACCTCGCCCTAGGACTTTGGGTTTAGGGTCTCAAAAGGGGTTATGTAGAGGGTTTGGGAACCAGGGCTGGCGTATGCATGTACTCTGCTCTGGCACCCCACAATTGAGGAGACAGACAATGCTTAACTGGTGGTCTGTCCTACAGCAGAAAAGCAACCAACGTTAACGTTGTAGGACACCCTCAGCCCTCAGCCCTCAGCCCTCAGCCCTCAGCCCTAAGCCCTAAGCCCTAAGCCCTAAGCCCTAAGCCCTAAGCCCTAGGAATCAGCATCAGACACCCTAAACCCTAAAACCCATAGCTGACAGCTCTTAAGTTGACGTGTGACCCTCAGGCGTCCTTGCAGCCGCTGCTGCCGCAAGTGTAGAAACCTTTGCGTCGTTTTGGGGATCTCAGAGTCCGGGGGCGCCAAAACCCTAAACCCTAAACCCAGAACCTTAAACCCTAAACCCGGAAGCTTAACCCTAAACCCTTTGTTGATAGCTCCTCACGCTCCTCGAAGGAGGCTTCCAGCACATGACCGGGGGGGGGGGGGGGGGGTTGCGACTCCGAACGCAAGGTCCGCTTGTAGCCGGATTTCGAGGTACCCCACAAGCAGGGCTTCGGGTTTAGGATTTGTGGTGTAGGGCTTGTGGCACTCGAGGTTATTGTACTTCTAGGCTGCGCCTAGGTTCCATACGAAAGTGCTCCAATGGACCCTCCGGAAAGTTTAGCACCTTCCCCCCCCCCCCCCCTCCCAAGATGGATGGGTCTCCGCACATTACACATGGAGGGCCTTGAGCTGGGCTAACCTTCGACATGATGGGCCTCTTTGGGGGCTTCTTCTTAAAGAGTCCCGGCAGTTTAAATGTTGCAGTGCCAAAAGGGGGCTCGGAGTTTGGATCAATTCCCCTAAAACCTTTACAAACCCTAAGCCCCACACACAAGCCCTGAACCTTCAACCTCCCAGCAGCCCAAGCTCTTGAAGCCTAGGTTCCAACATTGGATGCATACAGGGGACATCGGGTCTGAGAACTTGCTCGGCATTTTGGGATTGGGATTTCGGGGGGTGTAGGGTTTATGTAGAGGGTGGAACACACCTGTCCTGGCACCCCCTCATCTTCCAGTGCAGGCAAAGCGCATCAGCAAAGCCTCCTGCGAAATCTGGGGACTTGTCAGTGGCAGGTGTGGCATCGACTACATTGGGAGAGCCTTTTCTGCTTCATAGCCTCCAGATGCTTGAGCCTCTTCAATCCACTAATATTATATGTAATTCCCAAGAAGGCTCCACTCGAATTTTGGATATCGAATTCTGGGCTTTAAATGGATACTCTGGGTACTAAGCTGTTGCACAGTGCTCGCGTGCGGGATTTTGGCACTTGCGCTGAGTTGCTCGGGGTTAGGTATGGTTGGGGAGACTTTAGGGACTTCGTGGGGTTTTAAAGGGCATTGCTACGAAACCCTAATAACCTTTTCAAGCCGGGGCCCTGCCTCCCAACGCCCAGCACGCTCGCAGGCAGCCATGACCGCATTGTGAGCCACAACCTTACGCATTGAGGGTTCAGGGTTTAGTGTTCAGGGCCTTAGGGTGGTTTGGGATATTTTAGGGCTCAGGATGAGTTAGGATCCCGAACTTACTTTTAAAGTTCTGGCTTGTGGATCCCAAAATACAGACTCTAGGCCAGTATTGGAGGTGCTTTGAGGATCCAATTGGAGCTTCGGGTTTGGGGGTTCAGGGGGTTCAGGGCTTCTGGTTGGTTTTGAACCGACACATTGGGCAGTTCTCTGCCCTGTCGGCCTGTCGGCAGGGTTCATGTCAGAATATGGTGACTATAGCTAGGGTATGTAAAAAAGGGAAGGCAATTGAGACAAAACCCCATACCTAGCCTCATGAATGAATGAGGCAAGAACCAGAGAAACACCAAGTAACAAGCCTTGCGGCTTCGGGGTACTGAGAACCCAGCTAATACTGCACCTCCTTCCATGGCAACTTTGCGGAGGGCTATGCGACATGGGGCGCCGCGGAGTGCGGCCCCTTAAACCCGGACCTATAAACCCTAAACCCGCTGTTGAAAAAGAGGAACAGATTGAGGGGTCATAACTGCAGTTGCAAGTGAGGTTTTGGCTTCTCAGGACCTCCAAGGAGTACACTTTGTAACATGTACCCCGGAAGTTCCCCCATATCCTACAGAAAACCAGAGTCATAAAAGCCGCCCCAAAGTTGCGACACGGGCAGCATTCGGGCGCAGCCTGCCGCGTCCCAGGCGGGCGAACAGCTCCAGGGCCCAGGCCCAGGCGGAAGCCTTCCTTGGGTTTTGGGCTTCCTTGGGTTCTTGAGTTTGGGATGTAGGCTTTAGGCTTGATAGTCTTGGTGCTATAAGGGTGTTTGAGGTTTAGGGTTTTTTTGTTTCGGGTTTAGGGTTTTGGGTTTAGGGTTGATGGTTTTGGTACCAGAAGGGTGTTTTGGGTTGCAGCAGGTATCGCAAGGAATTATGAGCTGCGGATGAAGTGTATGCAACGCTACATGCAACTACTGAAAGCCTTTTGAGACGAGCAACCCTTGCCCTGAACAGAACACCGTTTGACGCGCATGATCACATACAAACAAAAACTGTACAACACACTGTTATGCGCATATGTGTAGACCTTCTCCCCGACCAGGCCCCAGCCAAAGCCCTAAACCAAAAAGCGCAACCCTGAACCCTACAAGCGTCCTAAACTGCAACCCTAAACCCATCCAACCCGGAGATCTGTGACGCCTCGAGCTACAGCGCTTGGGGGGTTTAGGGTTGAGGGCTTATAGGGTCTAGGGGTTTAGGGTCGAGACTCTCACAGGCACTGGTGGCCGCGGCAAAGGAGATGACATCTGCCTCGCAGCCCCCAGTTTCAAAGCACATTTTGGGTTTGGGGTCTAGGGCTCCGGGCTTTGAGATTCAGGGTGCAGAGGGTTCACAGGGTTCCGGGTTTTGTGCAGGGCTTTAGGTTTCAATTTTGGGTTTGCGCAATTTGGCCCCCACAGTGAAGTTCCGCGATAGAAGCACACCGCAGCAACACAAAGCGCTTGCTCTGGGTTTGAGGATTACAATCTCAGGGTGCATTATGGGCTTAAGGGTTTGCCTCGACACTTCGAGCCCGAAAGCCCTAAAGTCCTCACACAAACTTTAAGCCCTCAAACCTTACAGCCCCAAGCCCTTAAACCCTAGAGCCCTTCCCAAACCCTTGAACCCCAAAAACCCTCAACCCCTAAAGCCCGAAGCCCTAAATCCTATAAACTCTATAAACCTTATAAACCCTGTACAACCCCATCCCATAAACGCTGAAGGTCCCACCTGAAGTTGAGACTGCACTTCGTCCAGCAGCGTCAGGGCTCGGAGCCATTCACTGCCCTTCTCACCTTAGAGAGACAAAGAGAGAGAGAGAGAGAGAGAGAGAGAGAGAGAGAGAGAAGGAGAGAGAGACAGAGAGAGAGAGAGAGAGTGATTGTTTTTTTTTTTATATATGTACATAAGAACAACAAACAACAATATCATTCAGAAAGAAAGAAGCAAGGACGAAGCAAGAGCGAGAGAGAGAGAGAGGGAGAGCATTCTTTGGCGAGGGCTTAGGGTTTAGGGTGTTTCATTGCGTTAGGGTTCTAGGGTTTGAGGTATGGAGGCAGGGGTGCTTGCTTGAGGGACTTTTGGTTCATAGGCTGAAGGCTTCTGAGATGCGCTGGGTTGAGCTTCCCGAAGCTTCAACCAAGCCCTACCGCAAGTAGGCTGGGCTCCTACACCATCTGAAAAGATACATATTCTAAACAAAAACTTTTGAAACACAAGCCGGGAAAACAGGAAATGCGCCAAGAACCTTCCCAGCCAACAGCAAAAACATCTGAAGGAGCCAAGCAGCAGGCACTGATGGCCGCATTGCAGGTGATCAGATTTCTCTCCAGCTTCCCTGACTCACATGGCTTTGACCCGTACTGCCCTTGTTCCCCTAAACCTCCTAAACACCGCGATTGTAGAGTTTTTTGTAAAGGTCTCAGGTACCCTGAAAACTTGAAAACCCTGAAGCGAAACCCAACCGGCCAAGAGACTGGCATCAAGTTCAGCCAGCAGAGCCAGAGCCAGTTCCCATTCCTCACCCTTCTCACATGCACTGATGACCGCCCCATAGCTGATCCTCAGCTGACCCTAAACCCTAAACCCTAAGGCCTATTTATAAACCCTCAACCCTAACGCCTCCCGGACGGTTAGCTTAAGTTCGATTTGCGGGGTTCTCAAAAGGTGCCTTGAAGGCCTCAGTGCTTTATGCGCAAATTGCGCAAACAAGTCATTGCTGAGCGGCGCACTGCCCTCCAGGAACTTTCTCGCAGCTGGGTTCGGCGGTTTCAGGTTTAGGGATCGACTGCACTCAAAGACATGCAGACGTCAGGACTGATTGGTGAAGCACGTAGCCGGCATCGTGCGGGAACTACTCTCGCTTACCACATTTTGGGGCGGAAGCTTCACCCAAGTAGCACATTGGTTCGAAGATGCTGCTGCTGGGCTTCCTCGCATCAGTGGCTCATGAATTCTCTCAATTCTTGACCCGATTCAGATTCAAGGGGTCTGTAGGGCTTAGGATTGGGCACCCTAAGCCCCGAGCCTCAAAGACCTTAGAAGGACTAAAGGCTCGAAGAGCCCCGGGAGGAGTTTTAATCACATAGAGATGCAGGGCTGTAGAGGAATTTGCATGGGGGGAGGTAGAAGGTCCACAGGAAAACCGAGGCTTCTGTAGACTTAGTTTGCATATGGCAGAAAGCCGTCTGAAGTGTCTGGAGTTGCTTGACATACTTGACTACATATTGCAGCTGCTTGATGGGATGTTATCTTTACCACCCGCCTCATAAAGGGCCGAAGCTGGCTTCTAAGGTTGGCGACACGGCGACTGAAGGGCTGTGACTCAGAGCTTACCTGGGTACTTTCAGATGATGGGGCTTGTGGGTTTTGGCTTTAAGGAATATACTTTATTGGCTCGTGCCCTCGCACCCCTAAGGGAGCGATGGGAACGGGCAGCTTCTCACCACGAAATGCTGATACTGCTCACGGTATTCTACGACCTTGAGGTTTGGGGTTTGGGGTTCAGAGCTTTGGGTTGAGGGTGCCTAGAAGGGAAGGTCCCGCCTGAAACAACTGCAGTGCCTCCTGCCAAAGGCTGCCTTTCTCGCAGGCGCTGATGGTGACGTTGTACGCAACAATATTGGTTTCCTTTGCTGAGAGTGATGAAATGTTGGGGCGACAGATTGTGTGCCCTACACACCCAGACGAAGTAACAAAACATCTCAAACAACAAAACAGTTCCTTTCGGAACACTTCCCGTTCTGAGGCCAAGGGTTTAGGGTTTTTATGCCTTACATACAGATTTCCTGCAGGGCCTGCAGGGTATACTCCATAGAGGCAACCCTGGACCATGGTCTGAGGCGGGAAGAGTGGGAATACAAACACATTACGGCTGAGGGGCTGGGGTTTAGTGGTGTAGGGTTTTGCTGGCTTCAGTTTTTTCAGGAGGCTCTGTGCTCTAAACGCTGAGAGCTTATGTTTATGAAAAAAAGCTCAACCCAAAACACTCTCAACCCTGCACTAGTTACAAACCTCCTTTCCCAGAGTCGGGCTTCTCCCAGTATGAAGCCCTTGATTCCCCTGAAGCACCAGTCCCTAAACCCTACACCCTACACCTCCGAACCCTACAGCCCCTACAACCCTAAACCCTAAACCCTAAACCCTAAACCCTAAACCCTAAACCCTAAACCCTAAACCCTAAACCCTAACCCTAAACCCCTGAACCCTAAACCTCTGAACCCTAAACCCTCAACCCCAAACTCGGGCGTCCAACTCCTCAGCTGCTTCTTCGAAGAGGGCCAGCGCGTGCTGCCAGCCGCCTTCTGCTGCTCAGGCTTAGGTCTTTGAGAGATTTAGGGGTTCGAGTTTTAGGGCTTGGGGCTTAGGGTTTAGGGTTAGGGCTTTTAGGGAACCAGGGGTTCGAATTTAGGGCTTGGGGCTTGGGGTCGTTGAAGGGATGCTGTCAACATGTAATTCGGGTGTTCAAAGGGGACTCCGTACAAGTGATCCTATATTCGGAAGCCATCGGGAGCCTTGAAGAGGCCCTTGTAAGTTCTTGGAGTCCCTAGGAATGGGTCATATATGGAGTCCACTGGCACGTTTAGGGCCTGTTTGTTGGGTCGCGGGGCTTTAAAGGACCACGCCCCCAGTCCCGATATTTCTATAGCTGCTGCCTGCAGTCTCGCAGGCGCTGATGGCAGAGCTGTAGGTGATGATGTTGCCCTGCACTCCTTGTTCGAACATCTCGTGCACGAAGCCGAGAGCCTGGCTATTCTGCTTCTTCCTATTTCATGATCCAGAGTTACGCAACTAAGTTCTACAGTGGTTCTACAGTAAATCCCACTGTATATGGTCATTTCTCGAAACTGATGTGTGTGTGTGTGTGTGCGCGTGTGTCGCGGAATGCTGGTCACGTTTACCTAGCAAACGCTCTACGCACTTCATCACAAAAGTTTTGAGTGGAGACTTATTGGAGGTATCTTGTAGGGGTTGACGTCGAGTGTCAACAGTCATGCAGCTTGCAAGGTGCAAGAGACTTGAGTTGAATTTGAGGGCTTTAAGTGCGGCCTGCGTCTGGCAGTTGATTGTGGGAAAACCCCAGAGTCCTGCACATTTTGCTAGCGTCGCACAAGTGCCGTGCTAGTGCCCCCAAAGCCATGCTTGTTGGCATGGCTTTTCAGCCCCTACGAGTGTCAAAGTCTGGATTCCCAACCCCGCCCTGGTCGGCTCGGCTCGAACAAAAGGGGTTGGGAACAATGGTTGCCACTGGCATGATAGTCTCCAGCCCCAAGCCTCGCCAAAACCGTGACTCCCAACCCTCTCTTCTCGGCTGGAAAACGGGAGGATGGGGAACAATGCTTCGTGTTTGTTTGAGCAGGTTTTGTTCTTGTTGTTTGGATACGAAAAAACGTACGTTATCTGGACGTCATCATTCTCAGATGCTACATTGCTAACTGGGGCGAACCGCCTGCAGGCTTACCTTTTTTTGTTTAATTAAGCATACCTACACATTCTTAGACTGAGTTCTAGCGTTCTACTCTCGCCGCACCGGTGTTTGAGGAGCCGTACTTGGGGCGACCGCAAGGACATAAAGTTACAATGCATATACATCCTACACAGCCAAATTGCATTAAACAAAAACGCTGAGAATTTTGATTTTTGGCGCCTGGCTCCATCGGCCACCCTTCTCACAGGCACTGACAGAGGCGCTGCATGTGATCACGTTCCTTGCGAGGTCTTTAGGCGAACAGGTCGGGTGACTTTTCGGCAGCCCTGTAAACCTCCCGAAGGTGAGGAGATTGTGCGAGTTCCCGGAGTCGTCTTTAGATCTCATGACGGCTATATTGGCGCCTATATACTACGAACGTGACGAACAGTATCATTACAGCAATGGACAGTCATATAATATGAAAGCAGATCATCTGGAATTGAGCCTCGCTGCGGCGTGAGCGCCCACTGCTGCAGGATGTTGTGGAGGCTCCTGGGTTTCGGGGTGTAGGTGCACCCCGATGCACCCGAAATCTTCGCTGGAATATAGGGTCTAGAGTCTAGAGATGTGTAGGAGAAAAGTCTAAGGCACACATGTCTCTACCTTTGTTGCTGCCCACGCGTTATCACGACATATCATCCAAATGTTGACTGCACATGACTCATACTCGGCATTGAAGGACCAGGAACTGCTCCTCTCAAACACACGCACCGCTCCTGCTTCTGAGGGCGGTGCAAGACGAACAAGCCAGAGTTTTTTGGTCTCAGCTTGTCACATTCAGCAGGTCCGATTGCACAATGCCACGGATGCAGAAGTCGTTCTCAAACTCCCCGGTCAGAACTTCGAGTTTGAACCACTTCACAGATTGCAGGGGCTCGTCACACGCCAATATGGCTCCAGCCTGAATTTCTTGCTCCTGCGATTCGAAAGCGCAGTGCCAAGTCGCGCCGTCCTGGGAGCACAGGATCCTGAGAGAGGCGCTGCTCGGAATTAGGTTACGGAACTGGAAGCCTGTGAGGTGCACCTGTGCGTGAGGGAGCATCCACATCACCCAGCCCTTCTGAAACTTGTTTTTGTCGCTGCTCTCAGCCAGCTTCTGCAAGTCCATGCCTGCCTGCTCAGGTCCGAGGACCACGACCACCCAGTAGCCCACGAAGCTCCCTATCTTTCCGGTGCGTTCATAGCTTCTCCAGAGACGACGCAGGAGGACATCATCGCTAAACACACCCGGTCGGGCTTCAGGAACCGCCAGCATCGGCATCTCTGGCTCTGGCTCGCCCCAGCTTTGGAGTAGGCTCTGCAAGGTGGACTCCTCGAGGCACAGAGAGCACCAACTCAGGATCCTCTGCAGCAGCTCTGGACTGACCGAGGGACGTGTCCGCAAGGCCTTTTCAGGATATTCGCACATCAATTCCAAGGCCTTCGTGCGCAGGCCTGCCTCACGAAACTTGTCTGCTAAGGCGAAGACCTCGCAGGCCTTCTTGGGCGTCAGGTCTTCTCGAATGGCTCCGATGCACTGGGAATGCAACGAATGAACCTGGTACTTGTCTGCTAAAGCGGCCACCTCCATCAGAATGCCAACGGAGGCATTCAGGCGGCCGCAATACAAGAAGCGCAGGAAGGCCTCGACGGCATTCGCGGAGAAGTCTCGGATGACGACCTGCCCCTCCCGGCATTCTTCGAACTCCTCCCGAGTTGTCATGCTCTGGAAGACGGGAGACCGCACTGTCAGCAAGGAAGCCCAAACCTTGAACTCGGTGAGCTTCCCCACACCGCTCTCCCCGACCTCTTCTTCGACAACGATCGTGAAGTTGCCATCCTTGCCGAAGCACGCCTCCAACATGCCAGACAGGGAATCCGCCAGGCAAGCTTCAACGACTTCTGGCATGGCTGCTGCTTTCTAGGACCGGAGGCGACACGTCCAGGATGCAAGTGAGTGCTTTGGGCCAGCGGTTGCATGATCAGAGCATCAGCAGATAGGAAGGGGCAGTGTTTCAGTTGTCGTGTGTGTGTGTGTGTGTGTGCATCTCAATCGCCTCGTGAAGTTCAAGCATGCTGAGTGTAGATGCGGTTTGTACATGGTGCTTGGAGGTCAGCCACGGCAATGAGGGGTGCTTAAGGTTAGGGTTTAGGCTTTAGAGGTTTAGGGTCTAGGGTTTAGGGTGGAGTTGGCTGTGAGTTTAAGAGGAAACACAGGAGACCCTAAGGGCCTTTGGAGCGTAAGTTCATCGATCGTGTTCCTCGCAGTGCTCGGGGTGCGAGCTTCACGCAGTTCTGCAAACGCACGGCCCCTGCCCCAAAAACACCTACAGGAACAAATCATCCTGTTTGAAGCATTGGATACCACTTGAACCTTCACAATCCCTTATTCCTCCTAAGAATACATGCCCGCCCCCCCCCCCCCCCCCCCCCTATCTTATCTAAACCCCTGCTAAGCCCCACATGGTTTTTCAGTACTGAGTAGGGCGGGAGGGGGGGGGGGGGGGGGCGGGGTTCTTATCGTTTGACCGAACAACCCGCCCGTCCTTCGAGCTTGCTGGGTCAGTCATACAGCAAGCCAAAAACACAAAAACCCTAAACCCTAAACCCTGGAAAATTGGACCGATTCTATCTTAAACAGGACCCTAAACCCTAAACCCTCATCCCTATAGTCCATAGGATGAACCTTAATGGGCCCCCTAAAACATTCCTAAACATCCTCTTAAATCCAATCAGACAAAATATGATATGTCCCAAGGGCCTATCTAGGTTACATAGGTACCAGAATTTTCCGCTGAGAGGCAAGGCCTCAGCCCAACGAAGCCTGAACGAGCACGGAGTGGCTTTTGGGGAGCCAACAAGGTCACTTGGGCGGGGGGGGGGGTTAGGGTGGCTTAGGGTGTAGGGTTCAGGGTTTAGGGCTCGGGGGGTTTATGTGAAACGCTCTGTGTATAGACGGTTTATAAGGTTCGGGTCTAGGGTCGATACAGTATAGGGTCTCTTTGAGCGGAATCATGGTCTGAATGTTGCGTATGAGGGGGACGCTAGTCCACATCGAAGGCACGTAGACCTTACAAAAGACCATCCTTCACCCAAGAAACAACGCACTTCACACTGCGACGCCCTACATCCTGCCCGAGGGTTCCCTTCAACCCTACTTCCTACAACACATGGCTCCTTCTGAGAGACCTCGAGTCTTGCTACACTTGCTTGTTGTTACAGTACAAACGACGTGCAGTCAGATTAGGTGCCAAAACAGAGCTTCTTATTCTTCTTGATCTACCGCGCATCCGCCAGTTTTCCAAGCTGAGCACCTCCCGCCGTCCTCCTCCCTCCCGCACCCGCATCATCCCTAAACATGACGACCGGCGTTTAGGGTTTCAGCGTCTGGAGATTACAGGGCTTCAAGGGTTTTGAGGGTTTTCAAGGGCGTGGGCTTGAAGGGTTAGGGGAATTGAAAGGAGTCTTCGGCCTTCCCTTCTCGCAGGCCGTGATCGTTGCGTTGCAAGCGCTGACTTGTTTCTCGACCTGCCGGGTGGAGACCTAGAACTCGCAAATCCAACATGTACACGTCAATATGGACCGTTCTATACCATGTATTGTGAGCTTGTATGTAATGTACACATGTATGTAGTATGACATACCTCAGGCCTTGGACAAATTGGATCTTGGGTCAGGCTGCAACCTTGCACTCGAAAAGTCATACCTGCCTCTCAAAAATCATGTGGGTAGGTTCTTTACATTCGGGTCCCCTTTATGGTCCTTTTTCTAAGGGTGCAGTGCCGTACTAGAGGAGGGACCAGAAAAGGGAACCTCATTTGGAGAACTCCCCATGTGGTTGTACAAGACTCTGAAACCAAAGTCACGAAGCCCATGCCCACATCCGCCCAAAGCCATCCTACCTGCATCCGCAACCCCCCCCCCCCATTCAATCATCCTACAAACCATTGTCAGCACACCTTCCAGGATTCCAGCATCCTAATCTCCCTTTAACCATACTAAGCCCTGAACTCTGATGAACAACCCAAACTAACCCCACCTGCCGTGCCTGTTGTGCGTGAAGCTGCCAGAGGAGTAGCATCGCCAAGGGCCAGCAAGCGCCTGAACCCAGAGTTTTTGGAGTTCAGGCGTTTAGGGCCTAGGGTTTAGGGGTTGCAGGATTTCGGGTCTAGGGGTTGCCGGTTTTAGGGCTCAAGCGTGTTATAGGCGTTGCTGGGTTCAAGGTATGTACTCAGTACCAGAACCCAAAACCAGCTTGCCAGTGTCAAAATCCTCTGCAAAAACTCCGAAAGAAGATCCCTAAACCCCAGACCCTAAGCCCAAAACCTAAAACCCCAAACCCTAAGCCCCAAGCCCCTACTAAACCCTTGCCCATACAGGGTAGAGCATTTGCGTGCCCAAACCCGGGCCTTTCCCGCAGGCACTGATGCCAGCGCCGAAGGCGATGGAATCCTTGCCGGCAAGGTCGGAGTGGTAAGCTCCCTAAACCCTAAACCTTTAAACCCTAAACCTTAAACCCAACCCTGAACCCGAAGCCCTAAACCCTACATAATCCCAAGCCCTAAACCGCAAACCTTGAAACCTGGGGCTACATTTCCCTGCTTTTATTTGGGGGTTTCTGCCCTACATTGAGGGGGTTATGACCTACTACCTTGTAGGGTCCCTAGACCCTCTGCATTGCCTCTACAAGCACGCCCTTGCCCAGAAAACTCTTTGGTTAACCTAACCCCAGGCCGCCCCTCCTTGTAGTAGAACCCATGAAAGTCCTGAAGACAAAGCCACAAGACTCCCCCAGTGCGTCTTGCAGGCCTTCTCAGGCATCTCGGCCAGCAGTGCCGACGCTTGCTCCTTCGTTTCGTGTAGCCCTAAACCCTAAACCCTAGACCCAAGACAGCTGCAAAATTGCAGGATCTTCGGGGAGTTTGTTGCCCCAACCGCCATCTCAACCCCCCAAGTTTCTTGACCCCCCGAATCCACAAGTTCCCTAAACTTCAGAGTCGGATTCCCCCTAAGGATCTGACGCAGCCCTTTGGTTTCGGGTTTAGGGTTTTAAGGCTTAAGGGCTAAGGGTTTGGGGTTTAGGGTTAAGAGTTTAGGGTGTCGATCGGACCTCCCTGCAAATCCTAAGGCGAACTCTGCAAGGAGATGCCGGGACACCCACTGCTCGCGCCGCTCGCAGGCGCTCAAAGCGGCGGTCGAGGCAATGATGTGGGCCTTGCAGACTCTGGGAATAAACTAGAACCCCTTAAAGACGCTTGTTTAGTTCTTGTATAATGAAAGTATAAATGCCTGATTCAATAAGTAGCACGACAAGCAGATCCCAAAATCTATGATCGTGATTCCGCGCTTTGGTTTCCCCCCCCCCCCCCCGCCCTTAAGCGCCCCTAAACCCTTTAAACCCTGAACCCCTGAGACCCCAAGCCCGAATAAAACATGAAAGCCCTATAGACACCCTAAAGCCGGAAGCCCTATGCGCCCCTACACCCTCAATACCTAAAGTCCCCTAGAATGCCTGAAGCCCTACTATAGGGGCCTGAATAAGTAGAATAGGCTTTTGGGGGTTATTCTAGTATAAAGACAAAGGGACCATAAGGGAATACTGCTAGCAAGTATTCTGGCCCCTATATTTCATCATGCCTCTGGAGCCCTACGTAAGCCCTGAAGCGCTTTGGCCTCCAGCTGCCAATGTGACAGCTCCCCCAGCAGCCACCTGGGAGGTGTCTTTTGGGGTTTTACCTGGGACCCTCTCTACCTACAGTTTGGTGGGTTAGAGCTACTAATTAAGGGTAGCTACTACTAAGATGCAGGTAGATGGGGTCACAGGGGAGAGCTTATGCTAGGAGCCATAACTGGCAAACTGCAAATTAGGCCCGCGTTTTACCATGGCGGACCTACCACAATGCCACAAGAGGCTTTCGGGAAAAACATTCCTAAACATGACCCTCAGAAACCCAAGAAGGGAAATTGTAAAATGTCCCAAAGGCCTACCGAGTTGTTCGAGTGACAAAATAGGGTTTCTGGGATTTGGTGCCTTCTCAGGACGAAGCTGATTGAGCAACTCCGAGGCACATTGCCCTCTCCCACTGCGCCTTCCTCAGCTACGCGTCTCTCAAAGGCTTAGGGTTTAGGGTTTAGGGTTTGGGGCTTAGGGCGGCTTCTTTGCGGTTTGTGCGGGGGGCCTCAGCAGCCTGGGAAACGTACATGAACTGGGCTCTGCCATGTACAGGCTGCTGTTGCAGGCTCCAATATGCAAGAGCCCAAGCCTCCCTACAAAGCCGCTTCTCATGCACGTGGCCTCATGTCCAGTTCAGCCCTCCGTCTTTCACTCAAAGGCTTGAAAGGCACATGTACCCAATCACGTTTCCATTTAAGAGGCATAGATACAGGCGTCCCAGCTAGGGTTTAGGGTTTAGGGTTTAGGGTTTAGGGTTTAGGGTTTGGGTTTTGGGAGTTTAGGGTATACTGGTAGGTTTTTTGGGGGGGCATCAAGACGGCCATGACGAAGCCAAGAGTCCTGCCGCAGGCATTGATCGCCTTGCTTACATCCACCAGCGTCGGCTCGCGCATCGGACCGGCCCTGCACTCTATGGCTTCGGTATGCGTCGGTGCCACTTTCACAGAAGGATTCTCCAACGACAGGTCTTTGTGTTTCCAGTTCGGGGTAGGGTGTGAATTCCAGGCAGGCTCGACCAACAAAGCAGCGTCCCCAACAAGACCCACCTGCCTCGGCGTGACGGGCATGAACGCACTGAATTCTCTTTCGGCTTGAGGCAGCGCGGCGGGCTTCGCAGAGTCCACGGGGTGGGGGTTCTGGGAACTGAGAGTACCGACACGAAGCAGCATGCCGCAAGTCATACAGGCCCTGCCAATGAGGTCTTCTTTGCACAGGAGTGAGGAGTCGGATTGAAAGTATCTGGTTCTTGGGGGGGTACAGGGTTGAGGGTTGAAAACCTTGTAGGGTTCCGGGCTTAGACCAGTTCTCCGCTAAACAGGTCTTTGGGGTTCATGTGTTCAGCTCACCTGGCTAATACTGATGATACTTGGGAGTTCATGATGCGCTAAGGTTGACAGACTTTAGGGTTTAGGATTTATAGGGGTTATAGGGTTTACGTAGGGTTTAGAAGGTTTACAGGGTTTATGGGGTTTATAGGGGTTACTATAGCGTTTGTAGGGTTTGTCGGGTTTATGGGTTTAATCGGGCTTAGGGTCCATCACCTTTGAAGGGATGACTGCACCGACTTCGCGAAGGATCTGAGATTTATAGGGTTCTTAAGGGAGGGGGGGCGGGGTTCAAGGGGGGGTATGTAAACCAAGGTTCCCTGATACTCCCCACTACTCCCTAAGGCGCCCTCTGAGTTTCCCTAAGAGCCTGAAAGAAGCCCCCCTCCCTCCCTTAAGAGCCCTACAAGAGAAGCTTAGTGCGCAGTCTCGGTCCAAAGGACCTCAAGAAAATAGGAACTCTTGGGTCTTGGGATGTATGGTGGATTGAGTTAACGGCTAATGAGGGGGTTGAGGGGTTTAGAGGTTTGGGATGTTCAGGGGTTGGGGTTGGGGTTGGGGCAGGGGAGGGGAGTGTAAGGTTTAGGGTATTACGAGGTTCTTGGGGGTTTTGTGGGGCTTACAAGCCCGACCAGGGGTGCCTTCGCTTGTTTCCACCCTCGATGTGGCGTCCGAGGTGACCGCAGCCGCTGTCGACATGTCCAGACAAAGGCAGCGTCCCCTCCTTCGAGCTGGGATTCGGTACGGAATATAGCATCTTAAAGAGGAAGGAAACGCTTTAGCAAGCATACTATTATAGTCATCCTGCCAATAGTCACAGACAGTACAAGAAAGAACACAACAGCAAAACATGATATTGATAGGTAAGCAGAAGCATCTGGCTCGGACGTGGAGGGATTCTGAAGCCCAGATCTTCTGTTGGTCTCGCGGTGGCCCGTGCGGTCGCTGGGGCTCGGCGCCGGCCCCTCCACAGGACTGCTTGCAATTTCAAGGGTTCTTATAACCCGCAATTAAAGTAGATACTTATCACAACTTAAGGGACTTAGGGGGCTTATGGGTGTAGCTATAATTGGGCTAAGTGCCCATCAACCTCCAAGTGCACCTGGGGAAAACTGACACAGAGCTTGCACTTCTAGCATTAAGCACAGGCCTATAGGCGTAATAACAACAGTAAATAAGGCACAAACAAATTTCTATGTATATATATATATATATACATATTCTATAGAATATGTGTATATGGATATATATATATATATATATATATATATATATATTGATTTGTTTATTTATGTAGTGGATCAACATGCGCACCTCGCTGCCATGTCTTCACACCCCCGAGCAAGGGGCCCTGCAAACGCTTGCTTCCATGGTCCTTGCAGCTTCCTGCGCCTTGAGGTAGGCCTCACAGATCCTGGCCTTGTTCACAGCCACGGTCGGAGTAGGTTGTGTGCCATCTTGACCCAGAACTCCTTTCCGCGGTCACCTGCGTACAGGTGGATGTGCACGAGCCTCCCTGTTCTTGGGGCCCTTGTTCCTGACCAAACCCGACCCTATACCAGAGGTCGAAGATGTTCTCGGCCTGGGTCAAGTCCTCTGCAAAAACAGCACGTGCTTGGTGAGAGGAGTCGCTGTAAAGGATGCTCAGAGTTGAAGCACAGGAGCATGTGCCGGAGAGTCTCGAAGCGAGGGCCTTTACCTTGGGCCCCTTCTCCTTCGCTTTCCCCTTTAGCCCCTGCTCGTGTTTCCGAATCTCTGTAGAGGGAGTCCAAGAAGAAGTTCACCAGGATACAATCGTCAAACTCAAGGCCTTCGAAATGCTCGACAGTCAGGACCAAAGCGTTCACCAGGGATGGAGGTTAACGCTTTCTCGAAGCCTCGTTACGAACCAGGATACATTGGCTCGCCCCGAAGGCACTTCCAGCGTCGCGGCCATCAAGGTTAAACTTGTCGAGATCAGAGCTCCAATTCGGCGAGCCGCCTCCGGGCACAGTCCAGCTCACAGTTTGGGGTTTAGGGTTTAGGGTTTGGGGTTTGGGGTTTAGAGATTGGGGTTATTAGTATAGGGTTTAGGGGTTGCGGTTTAGGGTGTAGTGGGCGTTATGTAGAATGGAGTGCCAGGATGGAAGGGACCCCACCTACGCGGATAGGAAGAGCTCCTTGTCGACATAGAAGTATATATATATATATATATATATGTACCATATATGTATACAGATATACGTATATATATATATATAATATATATATACGTATGTATACTCCGCCGAGGCTGGAGGCCTGCAGCATACTGCTCTTCAGGGATAAAATCACTCGCCGAGTTGCTTTAGCGGATTGAAAATGAAATGCGGATGCACTCTGCAATTTTGCAACGAGCACGAAATTGCGGGGTCCTTCCAACTTTATTCATGCCTCTGCAGCAACCGCGCCCAATTCCCCAAGGCCTGGGAATGTGAAAGATGTTACCAAATGCGAAACCGAGTTCCAGCCTTATTCACTCACCCAAAGCCCGACATCCCAAGCCGTAAACCCTAAACCCCCCAAAACCCGAAGCCCCACCTCACTCCAGCACTCTGTGTTGCCGCCAGCAAAGCAGGTGCCGGAGCAGGGCCACGACGAAGCGAAGCAGACAAGACCTTTTTTCGGACAACACCTCCTACAACCAGGAGTAACCTAGGAATCCAAAGGGTGCCCCAAACACCAAAAAAGGGAATAAGGGGCCTACTCTGGGTCCTAGCCTCTTAGGTTTGGGCGGTTCGGCGTTTATGTGATATCTTTATGGCTCACTTCATGTCTTTTTATGGTTCAGTTTTTCTGCTGTTAAGCGGTTTAGGGTTCACTGAACCCTAAACAATCTGAATCAAAGGGCTTAGGGGGATTTTAGAACTTCGAGGCCTGGAGCGCCCTGCCTGCCAGTTCCTTTAAGTATTGGGCTCGTTTGGGGCTCCCTCCCCAAAACCCTAAACTCTCAACCCTACACCCTAAACCTCGGCCTTGTGGGGGCCTTTAAGGGGTTCTAGCGTTTTGCCCTGGAGTGGCCTTCGGTCCATGGTCCCAACAAGCAGCCTGGGCGTGCAGCCAAGACACACAGCGGTACCTGCGCACCAGGGCTTCGGGTGTTCCCAGCGGTTCCACTTGTACGAGATGGAACTTGTGGCGCCCCACACGACCATACTAACCCGCGCTATAATTCAGCCCTAAACCGCCACAACCCTATACACCCTAAAGCCGAAAGCCTGAAGCTCTAAACCCTAGATTGGCTTCAGGACTTCGGTGTTGGGGCTGCCAGTTCAGTGGGTCTGGGGTTTGGGGACATTGGGGACAACGTTGCCTCTATTTCTCCGAAAGGTTTTTCCTGGGACTGTATGTGCTACCTAAAGAGGGTCCCCAGGCCTTGCTCGCCAGAAACCAAAATAGGCATTTCCCAAAACCGGGGTGCCCCATTTATACCCGGATAGAATCGAATCCCTCTAAGGGGACAGCCAAAAAGGGTACCCCTATTTTCGGAAACCCCAAACCCCAAACCCTACACCCCAAACCCTAAACCCCAAACCCTAAACCCCAAACCCTAAACCGTAACACGAGCAATGCATCCCGGGGGCGTGATCACCGTCGCCGGAAGCTGGGCCAGCTGGAGCTCCCAATAGAGGCGCAGCACTTCCTGCGGCTGCCGTGGTTTGGGCTCCGTTGAAGCTCGCGCCTTAACCCTAAACCCTAAACTTCTAAACCCCTAAGCCCTAAACCCTAAACCCGGCTTGGGGATTGGCCTCTTTTCAGCCGTGAGCCTAGCAAGGTTGTGCTGTTAGAAGGACGGCGGCAAGCGCAAGACTTTAGGCCCTGTCAGCAAGCTTCTAGGTAGGTACCGCCGGTGTAACCACATGGTATAGGCACTCACACCGACACCCTCGAAGAGGTGCATTCGAGCTTTGCCGAGTCATGCAGGTGATCGGCCCTCGAGAATCCCAAAAAGCAGCAACCCATGGTAGCCACGATGGCCCAGCGGTCCTCCCACAAGCAGCCGCGATCGCACCTTGGCCACTGCTCCAACAAGTGCTATGTGGCCTAGGCTGTGAAAAACATGCGCGGCACGAGTGACCGAGAGAAAGAGAGAGAGAGAGAGAGAGAGAGAGATAGAGAGAGAGAGAGAGCGGAACAAAATACAAAAGGGCGCATCACTTGGGTCATCAAGGTTATGGGTCCCGGAGTTCTTTCTCAGCGTGGTCCTATCTGACGGAGAAGCACCCTGCTGTCTACACAAAAGGTGTATCTCAGAAGTCCTTGGTCTCGAGATGGGAACCCCGAAATCCTGGTACCCGGAGCTCCAAAGAACATGGTCTTTGGCAGGCAGGTTCGAGACCCCGAGCTATCATAGGACTTCGAACGGATCTGTGGGGGAATGTGGAGTTTGGTGCTTAGGGAGGCTCACGCCCCATGTCCCAGCCTTGCTGTCGGGTTTTAAAGGGTAATTAGCCTTGAGAGATTCTAATTAAGGGGAATGGGGCTCTTTGGCATTGTTTCGGGAGGTTTCGTAAGGCTTTCGCAGAGCTTCGGTCCGCTCGGTTAGTTTTTGTTCTGAGGGAAGAAATTTCAGGCTAACGCCAAGTTCCAGTTGGGCTGTCATGTTCCGAGGGATCGGAGAAGGTAGAGGCCTTGACACAAAGTTTGTGCCGAGTAGCGCCGTGATGGCGGAGTTGAAGGCAACAGCATTGCCAGCTGCCTGATCCACCCCTTCCTTAAATCCTGCATGAACCTACCCGGCCTAAACCCTAAATCCTATATAGACCCTAAACCCCTAAACTCCTAAACCCTGAGCCCGAGACCCCAGACAACAAGTCATACCCCAGCCCCCGGAGAACCAAGAACTGATTGGTCAATGATGAAGGCGCCTTCCAACCCTATATCTTAACCCTAAACCGCCTAAACCCCAAACCCGAAACCCTGGCTCCCCCGACAAAACCTTGATTGAGTTTGGGCCGGGGAATCGTTCACTGCAATGTCCCTTGAAGCACCACCCGGGCTCTCAGAGGATCAACACTTTAGTTTAAGCTCGTCGGGGCTTCTTCTAAGCACTGTAATATCTAAATCTATATGTACATGCACACACACATACATACATATATATATATAGGTGCAAAAAAGACTATATATGGTCTCGGGCCCTGGGGCCTACCCTCCCCCCCTCCCCCCCCCCCCCCCCCGACCCCACCATGGTATGAAACCCCCACTTCCTCTTCAGCCCATGATTTTGGTTTCCCCCTCCCTGGTACCCCCTTGCTTCCCCTCGCCCAATTGTGGGGCACAACATGTGTGTTGTGCCCCACGCGCCCGTCCCCCCCTCATCTTCCTCTTCAGCCCATGCTTTTTGTTAGATTTCAATCCCGATCCCCCGCCCTCCCGGTGATACTATTCGATGGTTGCCTTGCCGCTTCAGGGCACAACATGTTCATTGAGATCTAAAGGCACAACATGTTCCACACCACAGAAAGGGGCGGATTGAAGTCTAACCATTTGAGGAGGGGGTGGGGTGGGGACACCATGGATGTGGGGAGGGGGCTGGGGGGATACGATGGGGCTGGCAGCCCTGCACCATCTATGGGGGGCTTCTTGGGTAGTAGGACCCTTCAACCCTGTATAGCGCTGGGCCCTCAACCCTTATGTGGGCTCACCCGCACCTTGCTGGCGCGCAGTACGGACAGCAAGCAGAGCGTCTCCCTGCAGCTCCAGTCAAAGTCATTTGAGGCTTCAAGGTTTTGGGATGCCACAAGCCAACCCCTATACAAACCCAACTCAAACCTAAACCCTGAAGCTTAAACCTGCTCTCACCCTAAACCCTAAACCCTAAACCCCAGGTCGACAAAGGTACTGCAACTATAATCCCAATTAAGGTCTGTTAGCAAAAGGGGAACATCCCAAGCTTGAGGGCTTAAGCTTCACTATCTGGCAGATTTGCATCTGGAGTTCAGGAGGTTGAGGATCGGGAGGTTACGACATAGCGCAGCCTTGGAAACCCTCTGAAAAGCACGTCCCAACAAGGCCCTCCCTGTGGAACGTCTCCAAATATCGGCCAGTCTAATTCAGAGATGGAACAGAAAACATGCTTTTGCTTGCCTGTATTGTGCGAGTATTGCAGCCTGGAGCAAACTAGCCCTTCACGGGTCTTACAAGGCCTTGTAAAGTTCCTAAGGTTTACAAGGGGTTGTAAGGTGTAAAACGGCTTCTATAAGGCTTTAGGGTTCAGACCATACGAACTGAGCAGTGCCAGATGCAGCACAAGAAGCTGCCAACGCAGAGCCTTCTCACCTGGGTTCTCCAACTCCGGGCCCTGAAAGCCATAAAGGTTTAAACCCTGAGCCTAAAATCCTAGCCCCAAGCCCTAAACCTAAACCCTAAACCCTAGTCCCTAAACACTAAGCCCCTCAAGCCCCCACTCAAAATCCTCGAATCCCTTCTGCCGGCCATCGCCGGTCCGAAGGTTCAAGCCTACAGTTGGATACTCGCATCAGTATCATGAAGTTTATTCTCACTGTTGTGATGATTTATGTATTTCGCAGGGTTCTGCAAGCTGAGGGTTTGGGGTTCAGGGTTTATGGGGTTTAGGGAGCTACAGTGCCTAGTAAGCCCCTGCCCAAGGCCGCCATGGCACAAACGCTTTCGCAAGCGGAATATGTAACCACGGTGCCTTCCAGAATTGTGGGCTTGGCACTGCGTGGTGCTTCCACCCTAACCCCTAAACTCTAAATCCAAAAGGCCTGAAACCTTAAACCCTGAATAAACTCTGAACCCTAAATGAACCCACGTTGCCGATAGGAATCGGGAAGGAGTTGGGTCTCAGGCTTGAGGCGTCCGTAGCCATGGCTAGACTTACAGGGCTTTGGTCCAGGGCACCCCAAACCACCCTCCGAAAGGGTCTGGGGTTTTCGGCTTTGGGATTTTAGGGTGTTCGGGGTCCTAAACCCTAAATCCTAAACCCTGTACATTCTAGGGTTTTAGGCACGGGTTTAGTCGACTCCCTGCTACATGAAGTCCTCAAGCACCCCCTGTGAAAGGAGGTTCGGGGTGTGGGTGGGGGGCAGCGCCTTGAGGCAATATGGCCTTAAGGGTTTTAAGATTCTGGTCTTTCAGGTTCAGGGTTCCTAGAAAGGATCAAAGAAGTCGAGACTGAAGGCCAAAGGATCTGAAAACCCGAAGGTCGTTCGGTGTTGGAGTCTACTTCGGAACCCAAGTGCCCGTCAATTCGCCCTTCCCTTGAGAAATCACCAAGCCAGGAAACATGTGGGAGATAAAAAACAACAAGGGACCCCTTAGAGCCCCCAAAACAACTGGATCCCCTTATAATAAGGACCCCCAAAAAGGTAGACCCAATCCCTAAACCCTAAGCCCTAAACCCTAAACCCTACTAAACCCTAACCCTAAACCCTAAACCCTAAACCCTGAACCCTGAACCCTGAGCCCTAAACCCTCGTAGTTAAACCCCCATGTGCCTTGCAGGGTGGCAACCCGCAGCTCGCCCAGCAGCCTGCGGTGCCCAAGCCGCAACAACTTGAAGCCCAAAACCCTTAAGGGTTTAGGGTTTCGGGTTTGGGGTTGCCCTTAGCCCGAAGCACTAAACCCTAAACACCCGGTAACAAAACCTAATAAATTCTACAAGGCCTCGACAAGGCCTAAACCTTACCAGCCCTTCATTCGGCCACAGGGTATCAAGGAAAGCCCTAAGCCCTAAACGTCCCTGAGCCCGCTGCCCTGAACACAAAGAAGTTGTCCCATAGGCAGACAGTCCTCTGCGTAATAGCTCCAATGATACTAGGAATCTGGTCACTCGGGGGTCCCATATAAAAAGGGGGGGGGGGGACCTACAGCCCCTGCCTCCTGGCTGACACGAATCCTTGTATTACACCCTCAACCTAAGCCCTACACCTGGTTTTGAACTCGCACTACTGTTCTGACAAGGCATGGCCACAACACAACCCGCGATACCATAACAATAGTAGCAACACATGGCCTCATAACAAGAAAGACATCCCTGAGCCCTGAACCCTAAAGCCCCCAACCCTAGACGCCTAACAACACAAGCAAAGGCACCCTTCCCTAAACCCTTTAACAATTACCCCTTCAACCTTCACCCTAGAAACAAAATCCTAAACCCTAAACCCTAAATCCTAAACCCTAAACCCAAAACCCTAATTAACCTGTTTGCGGTTCCGGGGAGCTGCAAGGCAGGCTCCCACAGTCCCTGGCGCTCCTTGTGGTGCTTTTTTTGGGGGGCTTCAGGGGTTTGGGGCGTAGGGACTGAGGTTCAGATGGGCGAAGGGGGGGGGGGGGGGGCAACTTTAGATTCAGAAAATATAAAGACACACATTATGTTTACATATATATATATATACATATGCTACCCCCCCCCAGCGACCTACCCTTTTTAGGCCTTTTTCGGCCTTGTTAACAAAAAACAACAACGAAGGCAGTCGCGTAGTTAATCACCGGGTAATGAAGGACAGTTACTGGGACACCCACCTCACAGTCCCCGATGAGCCAGCATTGGATTGATCTACATTTTGAATCTGAAGCGGACAATGGTGTTTTTAGATGTTTAGATATGTGTTTTTCTATGCAAATTGTGCGTTTTAAAAGGGCAATAAATGTTTTGTTGAGCAACTAAATTATTCATACAATTGTGTTTGTACGAGGAAAGGTATTCATCAAATAGTGAAACATGTTTCTTGATTCTATGCGAATTTAACTACTAGAGTAATTAGTAAGCAAAGAGCCCAAATTGACTCAAGTGAATACTATTTAAAGGAGCATACCCAACCAAGATACGAAATAGACGCCATTCTCAACCAAAATATGGCAAAGTGTGCGTTTAAAGGGCAAATAATGCTTTGTTGAGCAACTACTGTATTTATGCAATTGTATTTGTACTCGGCAAAGTATGAATCAAATACTATCTGAAAAGTCCACTGAAATGCCTTATGTTTACATATTCGTGAAACTTTATTTATTTTTGAAATAATCATTCTATGCAAATTTAGCTACTAGAGTAAGTATGAAGCAAATAGCCCAATTTGACTCAAGTGAATACCATTTAAAGGACCATACTCAACCAAAATACGAAATAAGCACCATATTCAACCAAAATATGGCAAAGTGTAGTTTAAAGGGAAAATAGTGCTTTGTTGAGCAACTAATGCATTGAAACAGTTGTGTTTATACCAGGCAAAGTATAATTGAAATACTACCTGCAAAGTCCACTGAAATACCTTACGTTTACATATTCATGATTTTTGAAATATTCATTCTATGCGAATTTAACTACTAGAGTAATTCTTAAGCAAATAGCCCAATTTGACTCAAGTGAATACTATTTAAAGGACCATACTCAACCAAATACGAAATACACACTAACGGAAATGGAAGCGGTTCTACCTACATAACAATGAAACAAAGATTGCTGAAGTATTCAATAAAGACCACTTATATACTATGACTATGTCTGAAAAGCACAATTTGCATAAGCAAGCTTAAACATGCACAATAATGGAAATAGAAGAGGTTCTACTTACATAACGATGAAACAAAGATGTGTGACGTATTCAATAAAGACCACTTATATACTATGTTTGAAAAACACAACTTGCACAATCAGGCTTAACAAATGCACAAGAATCCTAGAAAAGTACTTAGTGAAGGCCATACACAAGCAAATTCACAAATACAAAAGAAACATCCAAAAGCGCAAGCTTTTCAGGAGAATCTCTGGTGAAGTTTGGATGATAGGGTTTTGGGGTATCCCTGACGAGTAGGAGTCACTTTTTAAGCAAACAATTCTAAGCAATAAATGCTTTTTCTCAAGACAAGTATTGCAAATGCGGCTTCTAGATAATGAATCGCTTTTACCAGGCAAATATTACCCGTGCGAACTTAGCTACCAGAGCACCAAGTGATGGCTGAAGAAGGTCTACTACACTTGAGTACAACCAAAAGATGCACTAAACACTAGTTGAAAAAGAAGCGAAGCGGTTCTACGTACATAATAACGAAACAAATAGTTCTGAAGCACTAGAAAGACCACTTGTATACAATTTCTGAAAAGCACAATTAGCATAAGCACACTTAAAAATGCGTAGTTGTTGCCTCGTGACCGTGAGGGCGAACCAAAAAGACAAAATACCAAAACCAAAAAAACCAAAAATACCAAAACCAAAAAAACAAAATAAACAAAAAACCAAAACCAAAAAAAAACAAAAAAACAAAAATACCAATTTTCCGGGACTCTTGGAGAAGCCTCATAGGGATTCCGGAGAGTTCCGGAAAATTGTTCTTCTTTGTTTTTTTTGGATTTTTTGGGTTTTGTCTTTTTTTTTTTTTGGTATTTTGGTTTTTACTGTCCGTGTATGCGATTTTAGTTGTATTTAGTCTACGCCTAGGAAATACGCCATATTGCACACCGAGTTGCTTGCAGTGCAGCTGGGGACTTGAGACAAAGCGCGAAAAGGGTAGGTCACTGGGGGGGGGGGGGGGGCGGGGTACCATACATATATATATATACATATATATATATATACATATATATATATATACACATTACTTCTCTTTGTTCGAGGTGGCAACAACCCCCGATTCGTCTTCAAGTTCACCCCACCCTCTCGAAGATGCAACCTCAGGTCATAACAACCCCTAATCCTTGTGGGTTTAGGGCTTAGGGTTATCCTAAACACCGACGCTTGACCCAGTGTCGCAGGCACTGATCACCGCGTTGAAGGCGATGACGTCGTAGCTGAGAGGACCACGTCCCAAGGCCTCGGTATGACTTTTAGGGTTCATAGGGCTTAGGGTTTAGTCGGGTGTGAGGGTGTTGGGTTTAACCATGCTGCCTTTCGCGATGGCATGGCTCAAAGGCTTTAGCTTGTGTAGCGCTGTTGATAAAACCTTTGCATCAGCTAAGCCCGTCAGCACCACAAGCTTCAGCCTGTAAACCCCCTGGGCCCGATCAACACAAGCCTCAACACACCCCCTAAACCCTAAACCCTAAACCCTAAACCCTAAACCCTAAACCCTAAACCCTGAACCCTAAACCCTAAACCCCAAACCCCAAACCCTAAACCCTAAACCAAACTTGTGTTTCCCTTTGGTGGGGGAGGGGGGGGGAGGGGGAGGGAATTCCCAAGGGCTTAAGGCATGGCGTGGCTCGTTCTTCTCTTGTTTATCAAGCTTTAGTAGTCGTTGAGGCTTGGGAGTTCTATGATTTTGGGGGCTTAACACATCTTAAGCTGAGATAGACTTATGTTCATTCTCCCTTCCCCTATGTCTAAAGCCTCAACTCTAATACAAGATCTTCTCCATCCAATAGAGGATCTGGTAGAAGATGGGGTCTCTCTAACAGTTGTGGTGGAGGTTTTGCTTACTCCTTTCAGGGCCCAGGGTCCTGCAGCAAGTTCGCAGAGATCTCCCACGCCTTCCCCAGGCGCGAGGCAAAGTTTCAGGGCTTTTTTAGGGTTTAGGGTTTCGCTGAACATTCCACCACAGAGGTACCTGAAGCCAAAAAGGCTAGGGTCTCCAATCAATCTTCAGCCTCGTCACAAGGACACCCAAGCTTCAATCTCATGCTCAAATCTCATGCTCAAAACCCTGAACTTCAGCCCGCAACCCCAAACTCTGCAAAACCTCAAACCTAAACCCCCTAAACCTACACCTGAGCCTAGAAATCGGTATATACACATGTATATATATATATATGTATAGCCCCTCATCAACACAGGAAGTCCAGAAGCCACAAGCTCAAACCCTCAACCGCACCCCGAAACCTCAACGCTGAACCCTAAACCCAACCACTCAAAACCCTGAAGCGCTAAACCCAGAACCCTGAATCCCTACACCCTTATAAACCCTAAACCCCTTAAACCCTACAACCCTACATACCCTCAAACCCCTACACATCCCCAAGCCAGAAACCTGGTCCCCAACCGGTGCCTGAGCCTTTTCTCCCGCGCTGGCCGCGGCGTTGTAGGAGATGCCGATGGGCTGGCATCCTGCCGGCTTCCGCTCAGAAAGAAGGAAACAGCACGCAGTCCCTAAGAAGTCCCGAAATACAACACTTGCCTAAACATACATATATATATATATACATATCCATCTATATACCGTAAACAGCATATATCTACACATATGCAGATAAAAAGAGAGAGGGAGTCAGGGAGAGAGAGAGAGAGAGAGAGAAAGAGAGGGAGAGGGAGAGAGAGAGAGAGAGAGAGAGAAAGAGAGGGAGAGGGAGAGAGAGAGCGACAGCGAGACAGAGGTGCTGCTCTGAACAAGGGGTGGGGGATCTAGGGTTGAGAGTTTTTCCAAAAGGTCCACTTGTAGGGTCTCGAGCCACAAAGCATACCAAAGAATTGCAACACGAACTGGACCCTCCGGGAGATGCAAGGTGTTAAACTCGACACAACATCCAAAGATCCCACAGAACAAGTATCCCGGACTTTATATAAATGTACATATACATATGTAACACATAATAAATAAATATATATATATATAGACATATATATATATACATATGTGTGTGTGTGTATCTAGTTTGTTTAGATGCCATAGAAATCTGGCGACAAAATCTCTAGCTTGCACCATCACCAAGGCAGCTTAGATGTCAGAAAGCCCGCCCCAGAGGCTCCAATACCCCTCAATTAAGGAACATTCCTTGAACCATAGAAGGAACCCTCTTATACTTCAAGGAATACTTTTCTTAACCAAGGGGTTTTGGAGTCTCTGGGAACCCTAAACCCGAAACCCTACACCCTAACCCCTAAACCCTAAACCCCAACGGAACCAGGTGAGTCTGTTACATCGATGTAAATAACAAGTCACAGCAAACCATACACCCTAAACCCTAAATCCTAAACCCTAAACCCGATACCCGGAACCCCAACGGAACCAGGTGAGTCTCTGGCTCTCCCAGGCCTTGAAGTCCCATGGACGCAAGGAGCGCCATCGCCCGTGCCCAGCCCCCGCGCTTCTCGCATGCGCTGATGGCGGCGTTGAACGTGATCCTTGGGGGCTCCGAGGGTTTAGGGTTTAGGGTTTAGGGTTTCGTGTTTCGGGTTGGGATTGTTGGGGTGTGTAGTGGGAGGGAGGCTTCATAGGCTTTAGAATTAGGGAGATTGAGGCGCGCCCCTCTGCACCCCGAAATCGCCCTCAAGGGTCCGACGATCTACTTCGCTTGGGATACTTTCGGAACCGAACCGGGGACCCTCTTTACCTAGAGCTTTAAGGGTTATACCTACTAATAAAGGGGCAGTTACTACCAAACTGTAGGTAACATAGAGTCCACAAAAACCCTGTGCGCCTTACCCGAAATCTGTATAAACCCTAAAATCCCCGAGACCCCCTACCTTAAACCCTCCTAGAGATTAACAAATGGACCTTTAAGCTCTAGGCGTGGCAGCTCCTCCTCCCTGCCCAAGGAACCATCCTCACACCTGCCAACCTTATGGCCAAGTAAATCCCAAACTCTGCACCCTAAACTCTATAAGACCCTGTAAACCCGCAACATACCCTACAAACTCCAAACCCAAGAAGCCTAACACTGTAACATCTAACCCATAAACCCTAGATTTGGGTTTATAGGGTTCAGGGTTATAAACCTTGAGCCCTAAAACCCCAAACAAAAACCGTAGCCCTGCGTTCTGCGGCCAGTGTCGTGTCGGTGGCGTCTTGGCGAAGAAAGTCCAGGAGGCACAAGGAATCCACCCAGCACCTTGCTGGCGAAGAATCTAAGGGCCTTAAGAAATTAGGATAGGGTTCTTTTGGGGGGGGGGAGAGGGGGGGGGGACAACTATAGTATATCTGTATAGGGGCCATAACCTACAGTAGGGCTTATCTCGGGTTTATTTATAGGAGTTCGGGCGTTTCGGGTTTAGGTTTTTTTTTTTTTTTTGGGGGGGGGGGGGGGGGGGGGGGGGGCTTTTGGCTGGAAAGGGTGGGGGGTTGGGGGGGGGGGGGGGTAGTTTAGGCTTTAGATGCAAGGCTTCTAGGGAGGTGCTAATTGGCTTAGGCTCTGGGTTTGAAAGATGTTAATGCAGAAGAGGTTTTAAGATTTAAGGGTTTTCGGGGTAGATGTTAAGTATCGTGGTTGTTTAATCAGGGCTTAAGGTTTAGGGCTTACACTTTATTGGGGCCCTGATGATAAGGGGATCCTACTATTGGGGGGGGGGGGGTCTATTTTAGGGGTCCCTCATTATCGCAAACCCCCATATATACACAACTTGCAAGCGCCCCCTACAACCAGTGTAGATGACGAGCGGGAGGATCCTACATTCTCAAGGGCCAGACCGAGAGGCCCTTGTGATTCAAACGCGCTGGCGGCAGCATTGAACCTGACGCCGACACTTCATGAGGGTGTAGAACCCTACACCCTAAACCCTAAACCCTAAACCCGCTTAAGAGGGTTGAGTTGGATTCAGGATTTTAGGGATTTCTCGGGGCTCCGGCTGGGTGATCCTCGGTAGCTCTGTCGTTGTGGTCCCGGCCCGAAAACATCCCACACCGAGCACTCCTTCCCCCCTCAGCTGACGCTAAACCCTGACCCTAAACCTAAACCCTAAAGTCTAAACCCTAATCCCTAAACCCTAAACCACCTGTGAAATGAGATGGCTCGAAGAGGCCAAAGGACTCGGAGACCGGGATGTAAGGTTTCGGGCGCACGGGCCGTTACAGAAGTAGGGCAACTATACCCAGAGACTCCAATACCCTTTAATTAAGACTAATATTCCTTCAAGTATAGAATACTATTCTTCCTTAAAGTATTGACTAGTATAGAATATTATTCCTTAAAGTGTAAGAGGTTCCTTGTACGGTTTAGGGACTATTCCGCAATTACGGGGTATTGGAGCCTCTGGGTACTGTTAACTGCCTATAGCCTGGAGTGGGTAGTTTCCCAAAATAGGGTCCCTTTAACGAAGTCCAAGTGGGCAAAAAGCACAGTTTGAAGCGCAGCTGCGTGGCGAAATCTGTGAAGCACGCACATCCTGCAGGCATTTCGTTTGGCTTTTGTTGCCCCATCCTTCTAGCGGCGTTTGAGTCGGGTATCTGCCAGGTAAGAGGTATGAACTGCGAACCTGGTGAAGAAGCTCGATACATGCCCAAACCCTAAACCCCAAATCCCAAGCCCTAAGCCCTAATCCCCACGCCTTCTACCCTAAAGGCTCCAGACTTGGGATGTTCCCCCTTATACAAAGTCCTTGATAGGGATTATAGTACCTTATTACAATCGATATTAAGGACTGGTAGTATAAAGGGAGAACATCACAACCCAAAAGCCAAACCCTGAACCCGAAACCCCAAGTCCTAAATCCTAAACCCTAAAGGCCCTAAACCCTGAACCCTAAAGCCTAGATCCTAAACCCCAAAGGCCCTGAACCCTGAACCCTAAAGCCTGTTTACGCGTCCTCGACGGCCAGCTGTGACAGGAGCGCCACAGCACCGGGCCATGGGCCAAGCTCCTTCATTTGTGTGCAGCCTAAACCCTAAACCCTAAACCCTAAACCCTAAACCCTAAACCCTAAACCTTAACCCTAAACCCTAAAACCTAAACCCTAAACCCTAAACCGCACAGGGTTTAGGGTTTAGGGCTTTGGGAGAAGGGCTGTGGTGGCGTGGGGTTTGCTCCCGTGGGGACTTAGATCTTGGGTGCCAAAAAGTCCTACGTAGTCTCTTCTAGCACAGAACCTTTTCACCCTGAAAACCTGAACCATAAACCCTAAACCTCAACCCCCCCTGGCCCTCCATCCCCTATCTGACCCCTAGACCCCCAGTCGTTTCGAAAAGCCCGGCGTCTCTGCAAGCGCTGATCCCCACGTTGAAGGAGACGACCTTCGGCGTCCCAGGGAGTCGACAGTTTAGGGTAGTTGACAGTCTTAGGGCGTAGGCGGGAGGGTGGGGTTGGGGTTCCAGGCCTTCAGTTCCTCTGGTAGCGGAAGTGCTGTCGACGTCTTCAAGTTATATCATCGTGATCAAGTGCGAGGAACATCCGAAAGCCTTGTGAACCGCAACCTCTACAAGCCTCTCGAAGCCCCAAAGCCCTCAATTCTTGGCAAATTAGTGCACAAGCCCCTCAACACTAGAATAAAAACGAGAGCATCCCTTAAACCCTAAACACCGAAACCCTAAGCCTCCAAAAAAGAGACCCTAAACCCTATGCCCTTGAACCCTTTACAGCCCTAACCAACAAACCAAAAATCTAAGCCCTTAAACCCTTCGTAAACCCCTAAGCCCCAAACCCCTAAACCCTAGGCCCTACACCCTCAACCCTGTGGCCATAAACCCCGAATATTTAGGGCACCTAGAACCCCACTTCTAAGTACCCATGAACCACCAAGTATAAGCCCCTAAACCCTCAACCCTAAAGCCCTAAACCCCTTAAACCCTCAACCTTAAAGCCCTAAACCCCTTGAAGCCCTCTAAGTCCCAAAACCCTTTAACCCTAACCCTAAACCCTAAACCCCAAACCCCAAACCCCAAACCCTAAACCCTAAACCCTAAACCCGAAGGGCTCGGAGAGCTCCCCTGCCGCCCATCGACCGAACGTCGAAGCCGACGAGCGCCCAGCGCTGCCAACAGGGCCAGGGCCTGGGAGCTTGGGATGTTCACCCGTATACTGACAGGGTTTAGGGTTTAGGGTTTAGGGTTTAGGCTTTAGGGTTTAGGGTTTAGGTTTTAGGGTTTAGGGTTTAGGGTTTAGGGTTACTAACAGCTCCTTAATAGGGATCATGGTACCCCCTACTTTAATCCGTATTCAGGAAGTGTTAGGATAAGGGGAACATCCCAAGCTAGAGCATGTGTTTTTTTTGTTGGCGTGTTGGGGTTCATCTAGGGTTTGGAGGGTTTAGGGTTATTGGGGGGAGTTTTCGGGCTTATGGGGTTCAGGAATTTAGGGTCTTCTTTGGAGTTTAGGGTTTATTGGCTTTCGGGTCTATAGGGTTTTCTTTTGGGGGGATTAGGTTTGTTTTCTTTGGTGAATTTTGGGCCTGGAATCCAAACCCTGATTTAAGAAGGCATGGGCGCCCAAAACCCCCCAAAAAGAGTTCTTAACGATTCTTTTGGGGGAATCTAGGGTTCAGGTGCTTTTTGGCCTTACCTGTACACAAAAAACCTACCCGTTTTAGGGGACCAATGAAATCACAATAAGGATCCTACAAAGGTAGGGTTGTCTGGGCTACAGGTACTTGGAGATTCATGGTACTTAGTAACCCAATTGTACTTATAACCCAAATCAAACCCTATTAGGGCTACTGTAGGGCTTATAAGTGGTTTATGCCCTAAACCCTGAACCCCAAACCCTGAACCTAAGTACCCTGAACCTCCAGGTCAAGAAAATGTTCCGCCTCGCCCCAGCGCGCGGTCGCGACCGCGGAGGCTGCGGCGTTGTGCCCGGCCACCGTGGCCGCGAGGCCTCTTAGGGGCACAGTGATCCCTCCTGGTTGAGAGTTAGGGTTTATAGGGTTTAGGGTTTAGAGTTTAGGCTTTAGGGTTTAGGGTTTGAACTTGCTTGAAGGTTCATGAGAACATACAGGTAGGGTTATAAGTACCCTAGATTGGGTTATAACCCAGAGATACTCTACTCATCTCTCTACCTATAAGTACCCCCCGACCCTTCAAGTAAAGTTTTGGGCTTGTTGTGTCTATTTAGGTTGTTTTTGTATTTAGGGCTTATGTTTACGGTTCTATATATAGTCTCTTCCTTTGGTAAGCGTATTGTTTGGATGAATGGTAGGCTACGGGGTTATAGGGTACTTTGTAGGGCTGAAGCATTCTGACAGGGAATGAATATTGCTGAACCCTAAACCCTAAACGGGCTTTCAGCGGGGTGAAGGGCTTCAAGGTTTCAGGCATGTTGGGAGAGCTGAAGGTGAAACCCTTCTCAAGCCAAAATCAAAACCCTGCAAGACCTCCCTGAAGTCCTTTGGCTTTTGAATCTTCTTCAAGATTACCTGAAGGAATGAGAGGGGCCATATCAGGAGTAAGTGCAGGTAACCCTTGAAAAGGTCTTCCACCTAACCTTTCATCCCTTGATGAATCCCGCGGCGATGCCCCTCTGTGACCGTGAACCCCCAGCCCCTCTTCCCTGCTGGAACCCTGAAGACTAAACCCTAAACTTTGAAACCCTAGACTTTGAATCTCTAAACCCTAAACCCTAAACCCTGAACCCTACACCCTACACCCTACACCCTAAACCCTAAACCCTAAACCCTCCTCCTCCCCAAAGCCTCGCGGGCCCAAAGCCGCCAGGAGCCGCACCGAGGCCTCCCAGCACCCGGCGCAGGCGCTGAGGGCGGCACTGACTGAGATCCTTGGGGCTTTTCGGGTTTTAGGGTTTAGGGTTTGGGGTTTAGGGTTTAGGGTTTGGGGTTTAGGGTTTTTGGGTTTGGGTTTAGGGTTGGGGCTTTTCGGGCAATGGGGTCCTATTCAGGGTTTTGAGGGTTTTTCGGTACCTTTCCAGGGTTTTCAGGGCTTTATGTCCTCTTCAGGGTTTTAAGGTTTAGGGTGTTTAGGGTTTAGGGTTTAGAATTTAGGTTTGGGGTTTATAGGGTTTTGGGTACTTTGAGGGCTTTTAGGGTTTTGGGTCCTCTTCAGGGGGGGTTTATTTCGGGCGTCTGTGTTGTTGGGTTTATTTAGGGTTGATAGGGTTTATGGTTGTTGTTTAGGGTTCGGGTTCGTTATGATTGTTTAGGGTATTTTTACGGTTTAACTAGGTTTTTGAGGGTGCTTCGCGTTGGGGTTTATTTCGGGCTATTTAAGGGTGTGCACCCCGAGGGTGCTTATAATCCTATACTTCTACGCCCGTGAACCTCCAAGCAATCGTTGAATGTCCACGGGTGTTGTCTTCAAGGGTCTTCCAGGTGCGGTTCAAGCATCTGATGCTTCGGCCTGGAGAGAGTTTGGGTCTAGGGCTAGTCTGGATGAAACCAGAGCCAGGGCTTCGAGGAACTCCCCTCTGAACTTAGGGCCCTAAATTCAAAGCCCTACAATTCCTATAAACCCCACAGTAAACTCCAGAAAGTTGGAACACGGTTTAAGGATGATTAGGGCCCGGCTTCCCTTTAGTATACCTTTTGGGGTATGGGGATAGTATTACTTTACTAAGCCCTAAACCCTAAACCCTGAACCCTAGGCCCGAAACCCTAAACCTTCACATAGCCCTCAACCATCCAAGCCCTGTGAATCCGGGTGGCGGATCCAGCTGCAGTGCCGTGCGCTCCGCATCGCCTGAGGCCCACATAGGCTTAGGGTTTAGGGTTGAGGGTGTATTGACCACAGATGTGCAGAAAGATAAGTGCAAATCAAGTCCCAAAACTTCCCAGACCACCCGAGTTTCGGAAATTCTCGGAATGCCAACGACCGAATCCCGTTGGGTCTTCTGAGGGGGTTTAAAAGGGTCCGATGGGGACTTCTAGGGCGTTTTTCTTTTTAATAGGGTTCTGTAGGGCTCTGTAAAGGTTTCATGAGCGTCTTATAGGGCTGAAACTCACAGCTTAGGTGCAAAGCAGTGCGAGTGCCGACTCCCACTGTGTACCTCCGAAGCAGGGTTGAGCCTACGGGGTCCCCAAAACTATGGTTTAGGGTTTAGGGTTTTAGGATTTAGGGTGTAGGGAAGTTGGTTTAGGGTTGAGGGTTTAGGGTTTTAGGATTCAGGGTTTAGGAAAGTTGGTTTAGGGTTGAGGGTTTAGGGTTTCGGGTAAGTTGAGGGATAGGGGACCAGTACCCTATAGGTCCTTGTTTGGTATATATGCATATCTGTATATAATATGTATAAGTATGTATATACATACTTATAAAGGCCGTTATTAAAATCCCCAAGAATAGCTGCAGGGGTCCAAGTATGTACATCGACCACAATCGTTACCAACACCACAGCCTCGACAAACGAGGCGAGACTCCAATGTACCTTCCATGAATGAACCATTCTCAAACAGCCCCCTAAACCCTAGTCCCTAAACCCCAAACCAGAGACCCCAAACCCGAAACCCT